AGATCTGCAGGAAATATAGATGACGTCACACGGAACAATTGACCTTAACGAGGGGGAGGGTCAAGGTCAGTGTTAATTTTCTAGAATGGTTTGTTTGCCCAACCGTGGCCTTAAAACTTCGGACAATCAATGTGTAGCCCCACTACTTTTTTGGGTGAGCTCTACGTTGCGCTATACAGATACATTACCTACACACTGAAACCTCTGCTGTACAGATAATTATCCCCCAAAAATGGAGATATGTGTTGTACCAACAGATAATTACACAAACACTAAAATCTGTGCTGTACCGACAGATTGCCCAAACACCAAGACCCGTGTTGTAGACATTAGAGTGAACACTTTTGTTTGCCGATATTCATAGATTGCATTTGAATTGGGTTGTATGAAATAGGTACGCTTGTGTGGAAGTTGGGGTGGGGGGGAGGGGACCTCACTAATCAGTAGATAGTTGAACACACGCCCCCTGTGTGGACAGGCAAAATTCCAGATACTGCCGTGGTCTGTAGCCCGGCTCTCCAGAACTGAGCAGAAGAAACGGTTTTCGTCCTCACACTGGGGGACAATGGCTGCTTAATAGACTGTTCCCGACACTTCCTGTTAATTTAGCCAGCTTTATGAAACACATCCTGCCTCGTTATGGGTGTCGGTGCCCGCCAATACAAAGCCTATGGCACGACAACTTACTGCCCATTGTCCGTGGTCATTCAACGTTGACGTCGCAACAAAAGACGGTCAGCGCACAGAGAAAAATATGACAACACAACCAAGGCTGGACCCAGCCACCGGGATCTGGATGTAGGAACCTTCAGCCAGGTCATGACGCTATCCAGTGATCGACAGCTGTGTCCAGCCAGGAAGAGAAACATTCACTAAAGGTCACGAGAAAACAGATAAATACAGCTAGTCACGTGATACTGTCCCTGAGTGTGATCTGACAACGGCCAAGGCTGCTCACAAGCTCTCAGAGCTGAACAGTTTTCTCAGTCAGTGGACGTCTGCGGCAGTGGAAACGTCGCTCTATTACCGGGCTACCACACTTGAGAGACCCGGAGCCTCACCATCTGAATCAGGAGGCAGAGACTGTAGACATGTCTTCCCATAAGCGAACTAGTCACCAGGTCAGTTGATATTCTCACTATCTAGGTTACTCTTCAACTATGTAACATTCTCATTATCTAAGTTACTCTTCAACTATGTAACATTCTCATTATCTAGGTTACTCTTCAACTATGTAACATTCTCAATATCTAGGTTACTCTTCAACTATGTAACATTCTCATTATCTAGGTTACTCTTCAACTATGTAACATTCTCATTATTTTGGTTACTCTTCAACTATGTAACATTCTCAGTATCTAGGTTACTCTTCAACTATGTAACATTCTCATTATCTAGGTTACTCTTCAACTATGTAACATTCTCAATATCTAGGTTACTCTTCAACTATGTAACATTCTCATTATCTAGGTTACTCTTCAACTATGTAACATTCTCAATATCTAGGTTACTCTTCAACTATGTAACATTCTCATTATCTAGGTTACTCTTCAACTATGTAACATTCTCATTATCTAGGTTACTCTTCAACTATGTAACATTCTCATTATCTAGGTTACTCTTCAACTATGTAACATTCTCAATATCTAGGTTACTCTTTAACTATGTAACATTCTAATTATCTTGGTTAATCTTCAACTATGTAACATTCTTATTTCCACAAGCCACACATACACATATCTCTTTTTCACAAGCCAAACACAAAGTGATCTCATTTCCACAAGCCACACATACACAATATCATTTCCACAAGCCACACATAAACAGATCTCATTTCTTCATGCCAAACATAAACAGGTCTCATTTCTACAAGCCAAACATAAACAGATCTCATTTCTACAAGCCAAACATAAACAGATCTCATTTCCACAAGCCACACATAAACAGATCTCATTTTCCCAAGACACGCACAAACATCACATTTCCTTAAGCCACACATAAACAGATCTCATTTTCACAAGCCACACATAGATCTCATTTCCACAAGCCACACATAAACAGATCCCATTTCCACAAGCCACACATAAACAGATCTCATTTCTACAAGCCACACACAAACAGATATCATTTCCATAAGCCACACATACATAGATCTCATTTTCACAAGCCACACACAAACAGATCTCATTTCCACAAGCCACACACAAACAGATGTCATTTCCACAAGCCACACACAAACAGATCCAATTTCCACAAGCCACACACAAACACTTCTCATTTCCACAAGCCACACACAAACAGATCTTATTTCCACAAGCCACACACACAAACAAATCTCATTTCCACAAGCCACACACACAAACAGAAATATGCTAGTGTCAGAGAACAACTAATGAGAGACTTTAGCTGGGTCTGTTCCGGTTTGTAAGGAGACATAATTTATCTCCAGGTTAAGAAGTGCTGTATCTCTAGTTATGAAGTGTTGTATCTCTAGTTATAAAGTGTTGTATCTCTAGTTATGAAGTGTTGTATCTCTAGTTATGTAGTGCTGTATCTCTAGTTATGAAGTGCTGTATCTTTAGTTAAGAAGTGCTGTTTCTCTAGTTAAGAAGTGCTGTATCTCTAGTTATGAAGTGTTGTATCTCTAGTTATGAAGTGTTGTATCTCTAGTTATGAAGTGTTGTATCTCTAGTTATGAAGTGTTGTATCTCTAGTTATGAAGTGTTGTATCTCTAGTTATGAAGTGTTGTATCTCTAGTTATGAAGTGTTGTATCTCTAGTTATGTAGTGCTGTATCTCTAGTTATGAAGTGCTGTATCTTTAGTTAAGAAGTGCTGTTTCTCTAGTTAAGAAGTGCTGTTTCTCTAGTTAAGAAGTGCTGTATCTCTAGTTATGAAGTACTGTATCTCTGATTATGAAGTGCTGCTCTAGTTAAGAAGTGCTGTATCTCTAGTTAACTATTTCATCCCTAGCAGACCTCGTAGATTTTTAAGGCTTACAAAAAGCACACCAAAAACTCTGCACCCTTTTGTTGCATGTTGTAGTATATAGCCAGATTTCTTTGGTATCTGGTAATCTGGTAATCCTAGTTTCAGCTTCATAGCAAACGGGTCACCCCATAGTTGCTCCGCTCCTGTGCCAACGAAAAATACACGTAACTCACAGTGTTACGCCATGCACTCAACCCAGAAGCTGGGCGACGAAACTATATCCTTCGTCTACAAATGGAGCAAAAATGCAACGGCCACCGTCTGGAAAAAAAAACAGGTGGCCGTGCCTAGCGTCCATTTTGACCGTTGGTATGCTTGGATCAAAGTTGAAAGAAATTATAACACGTAAGCACTCACTTTATACCATGTCTATCGCACATGGGGTGCTTTGATCGGGATGTATAGAGTTAAGAAGTGTTGTCTTTCTAGTCATGACACACCCGGCCTACAGTCACACGCGGGGCTTGTCGTGTTACGTCTCAGTATACAAGTGGTCGAGGGTAGTGATCGTCGTGTGTAACGTCTCCGTTCACAAGTGGTCGAGACCATTATTTCAGAGATGTCTCAGCTCTGACCAGCTTTTCCATGTTAAGTGACAGGGTCAGACTCAGTTCGAAAGGTTGTTGCGTATCCTTTACAGGACGTTGCAGAACCAACCCTAACAGCCCCTGGCTGTTGTGTGGTTTCTCTAGGCAAATTTACGTCCAGTAGTTTGCCATTGCTTTCTGGACGGTCGGCTTTCTTGATACCACTGTCGAAACCAACGCAAGGCGCATGGCCCGCAGCTGGGATCGAACCCGACATCCCGGCATTACGAAGCGAAGTGTTCGCATCGACTTAGCCACAGAGCCGACAGACTCAGTTCAGAGATAACAAATTTATCACTGAGGCTGATAATCTCAGCACAGAGATATTCCACCTATCATTAAATCTGATAATCTCATCACAGAGATATTCCACCTATAATTAAATCTGATAATCTCAGCACAGAGAGAGATACCCAGCTATCATCATCAGATACCCCATCTGTCTTTGGAGCAGGAAAGGGTGGGGGAGGGGGTGATCTCATCACAGATATTGTCACTGACACTGATAATCTTAGCACAGAGATATCCTATCTATCTTTGGTGAGGATAATCTCATCACAGAGATATCCCGTTTATCTCTGGTGGGGATAATCTCATCACAGAGATATCCCGTTTATCTCTGGTGGGGATAATCTCATCACAGAGATATCCCATTTATCTCTGGTGAGGATAATCTCATCACAGAGATATCCTATCTATCTTTGGTGAGGATAATCTCATCACAGAGATATCCCATTTATCTTTGGTGGGGATAATCTCATCACAGAGATATCCCATCTATCTTTGGTGAGGATAATCTCATCACAGAGATATCCCATCTATCTTTGGTGGGGATAATTTCATCACAGAGATATCCTATCTATCTCTGGTGGGGATAATCTCAGCACAGAGATATCCCATCTATCTTTGGTGGGGATAATCTCATCACAGAGATATCCTATCTATCTTTGGTGGGGATAATCTCATCACAGAGATATCCCATCTATCTCTGGTGGGGATAATCTCATCACAGAGATATCCTGTCTTTGGTGGGGATAATCTCATCACAGAGATATCCCATCTATCTCTGGTGGGGATAATCTCATCAGAGATATCCCATCTATCTTTGGTGGGGATAATCTCATCATGGATACTTTGTCACTGATGCTGGTAATCTCAGCTCAGAGATACCCCACATATATTTGTGTTGTGCCATTTTGTGATGTTGCACCATGTTGTGTTGTTGCACCATGTTGTGTTGTGTTGCACCTTGTTGCATTGTGCTGTGTTGTTATTTTGTGTTGTTTTATTGTGCCATGTTGTGTTGTTCTCTGCTTTAATGCTCAAATATTTCTATGTTTACGTTGTGACCTCCACTTGATTACAGAAAATTGTCATGGTTATTCACAAATGCCTCACAGGTTTCTTCAGCTGAGAAGGGCAGTTATCATGTGGCACCTACTGATGATGACAGTAAGAAGAAGAAGAAAAAGGGTGATGACATGGATGATCTCAAACGAGAGCTGGAGATGGATGAGCACAGCATTCCTATCCAAGAGCTGTACCAGAGGCTTGAAGTTAATCCCTTAACAGTAAGTGTTAGTTGTTTTTGTTGTTGACATTGTCTTGTCTTGTCTGTGCCTCTATCTGTTTGCCCAGCTGTTGACATTGTCTTGTCTTGTCTGTGCTTCTATCTGTTTGCCCAGCTGTTGACATTGTCTTGTCTTGTCTGTGCTTCTATCTGTTTGCCCAGCTGTTGACATTGTCTTGTCTTGTCTGTGCTTCTATCTGTTCGCCCAGCTGTTGACATTGTCTTGTCATGTCTGTGCTTCTATTTGTTCGCGCAGCTGTTGACAGGAGTTCTTTGTGTCCAGTCAAATTGGGGACAGAGATCACATCATTTAGCATTTAGTGTCTTGCCCTCCTCTTCCATAATTTTCACTTCTGTCTGAGCAAAGTTAAGATTTGATATTGTCATTTTCTGTCCAGTAATTCATTATATATTGTATTACTTTGATAACATAATTCATTATATATTGTATTACTTTGATAACATTTTTTTCTTACTTAAGACACCCTTCTTTTGCACTTTCTCAACTGTCACTTCTGACAGGGACATTCTGTGGAACGAGCCAAGGAGATCCTGCTCCGTGATGGTCCAAACGCACTGACCCCACCCAAGACAACACCAGAGTGGATCAAGTTTTGTAAAGTGCTGTTTTCTGGCTTCTCTATGCTGCTGTGGATTGGTGCTATCCTGTGTTACATTGCTTATGGTATCCAGGCCAGTCAGATGGAGGCGCCACCTGGGGACAATGTAAGTGATATATGTCTTCCATGTGTATACATATAACTACACCGTTAGACACCCACATATATGTTGTATCTGGCATCCACATTTTCTGGTGTATTTGGTGTATGTGTGTGTGTCATATATTATAGTAATAATTGTAAGTGATAACTATAGCTGTGAGTTTGAGATCATTCTAGCTGTCAGTTTTGGGGAGATCAATTGAGCTGTAAGTTTAGGAATATCACTCTGGCTGTGAGTTTGGGGAGATCTTTCTGGCTGTGAGTTTCGGGCAATCACTCTAGCTGTGATTTCTGGTTTCTAATGTTTAAAATTATCAAGCTGTTTCATGCATTATATTATGTTAAAATACTTGCTGGATACAAAAACATCTTGCATATCTGTAATATTCATCATTATATACTATAAATACTTTTTTCTTATTTTTGTTTCCAAAAAGAACATAGGCCTGTCACCACTCCCAGCTACCTGTCACCACTCCCTGTTTCTTGTCACCACTCTCTGCTGCCTGTCACCACTCTCTGCTGCCTGTCATTAATTCCTGCTGCCTGTCACCACTCTCTGCTTCCTGTCACCACTCTCTGCTGCCTGTCACCACTCTCTGCTGCCTGTCACCACTCTCTGCTGCCTGTCACCACTCCCTGCTGCCTGTCACCACTCCCTGCTGCCTGTCACCAATCCCTGCTGCCTGTCACCACTCCTGCTGCCTGTCACCACTCCCTGCTAAAAGTAAAAAAAAAGTAAAGATCCCTTTTCACGCCTTTCGGCGCATCGGGCATATGGGCAGAGCGTCCCATATTTTTACAGACCATCAGCACTGCCTGTCATCAATTCATGCTGCCTGTCACCACTTACTGCTTCCTGTCATCAATTCCTGCTGCCTGTTATCAATCCCTGCTGCCTGTCACCACTCCCTGCACCTCAGTCTTCCCCCCCCCCCCCCCCCCCAACCATTCTGTCTCTGTATCTTCTCCATGTATCCTTGCCCTTATAGGCTTTAAAATGGTATACAGGTCCCTGAAAGGCTGGATGCAGGATATCCAGTTTGCTATATTTCATTGCCCTTGGGAGCCTATAGGGATTTCTAGTTGTACTGTGGATCCTAGAGAAAGTGATTTCTATTTGTACTGTGCTGAAGAGTTCCTACTAGTGCCATGCCCATCTCATCTTGTGATCGTGTCCACATTGCTACCTCAAAACTTCGAGCACCTTGACAACTGACTGGGTGATCATGTCTACATTGCTTCCTTAAAACATCACCTTGACAACTGACTGGGTGATCATGTCCACATTGCTACCTCAAAACTTCGAGCACCTTGACAACTGACTGGGTGATCATGTCTTCCTTGCTTCCTTAAAACATCACCTTGACAACTGACTGGGTGATCATGTCCACATTGCTTCCTTAAAAACATCACCTTGACAACTGACTGGGTGATCATGTCTTCCTTGCTTCCTTAAAAACATCACCTTGACAACTGACTGGGTGATCATGTCCACATTGCTTCCTTAAAAACATCACCTTGACAACTGACCGGGTGATCATGTCTACCTTGCTTCCTTAAAAACATCACCTTGACAACTGACTGGTCTACATTGCTTCCTTAAAAACATCACCTTGACAACTGACTGGTCTACATTGCTTCCTTAAAAACATCACCTTGACAACTGACTGGGTGATCATTTCTACCTTGCTTCCTTAAAAACATCACCTTGACAACTGACTGGTCTACATTGCTTCCTTAAAAACATCACCTTGACAACTGACTGGTCTACATTGCTTCCTTAAAAACATCACCTTGACAACTGACTGGGTGATCATGTCTACATTGCTTCCTTAAACATCACCTTGACAACTGACTGGGTGATCATGTCTACATTGCTTCCTTAAACATCACCTTGACAACTGACTGGGTGATCAAGAAACTTGTTGCCTTTCTATTTTTCTCTTGCCATAAATCCTTCTGGTAGTTCCGTTATTATTATTAAGTTGTCATCTGTGTTACATTAAGTGCAGCCATCATCACCCCTACACACCTTGTTTTAGTGTGGGTTTTTAATCTGCAGCTGTACCTGGGCATCGTGCTGACGGCTGTAGTCCTGGTTACCGGAATCTTCTCCTATTATCAGGAAGCCAAGAGCTCTAGGATCATGGACTCCTTCAAGAACATGGTGCCACAGGTAAGCAGACACAGGCAGTTGTATGGTACATTGGCTTTTATTGAAAAATTCCTGCTGCCTCCTTCCTTTACAAATTATTAGTATCTAGGTATATGATGTGGCTTTCTCTGTTGACTCATCACTAGTATCTATTTCTTGTGGCCTTCTCTGTTGACACATCACTAGTATCTATTTCTTGTGGCCTTCTCCATTGACACATCACTAGTATCTGTTTCTTGTGGCCTTCTCTGTTGACACATTACTAGTATCTGTTTCTTGTGGCCTTCTCTGTTGACACATTACTAGTATCTGTTTCTTGTGGCCTTCTCCATTGACACATTACTAGTATCTGTTTCTTGTGGCCTTCTCCATTGACACATTACTAGTATCTATTTCTTGTGGCCTTCTCTGTTGACACATCACTAGTATCTGTTACTTGTGGCCTTTTTTGTTGACACATTACTAGTATCTGTTTCTTGTGGCCTTCTCCATTGATACATTACTAGTATCTGTTTCTTGTGGCCTTCTCCATTGACACATTACTAGTATCTGTTTCTTGTGGCCTTCTCCATTGACACATTACTAGTATCTATTTCTTGTGGCCTTCTCCATTGACACATCACTAGTATCTGTTACTTGTGGCTTTCTCCATTGACACATCACTAGTATCTGTTTCTTGTGGCCTTCTCTGTTGACACATTACTAGTATCTGTTTCTTGTGGCCTTCTCTGTTGACACATCACTAGTATCTGTTACTTGTGGCCTTCTCCATTGACACATCACTAGTATCTGTTTCTTGTGGCCTTCTCTGTTGACACATCACTAGTATGTTTCTTGTGGCCTTCTCTGTTGACACATTACTAGTATCTGTTTCTTTCCGAGGAACAGATAGATCATTACGGTCTGAGGAGAATGGCACTGCAAGGAGTTACAAGGGGATCTCACCGACGCTCAACACTCAGAAAAGGACAAGACGGATATATCAGACTATAACTGGTACCATCGGAATTTTAACTTTTCACTTGCTGCTGAAGATGGGGACGGAGCGCTTATGGGAGTGTCCTGAGTGCTGTGATGTCAATTCTTAATTCAACATTCCTCTTCTACCTTGGCGTGTAGAGGTTTGCATGAGGAATTGCCAGGTGCCTCTATCAGCAGTTTTCCTTCTGGCTTTGTTCCATTCCAGTCCTCTGTCAGTTAGGGACTGTCGGATGTTGTCTTCTCACCAGACCCTGGGTCTTCCTGGTGGTCCGGTTTCCTGGTTCTTAGCCTCCCATGCCTGCCATGGTGGCCGATTTTCTCCCATTCTGTATACGTCCAAACCATCGTAACTGTGACTGATCCCCTCTGGTTTGTAAGGACTGGGTATCAAGATCTTGACGTATTGTCTGATTGCGGACTTTATCCCTTCTTGTCACTTGGACCACCTTTCTCAGATATCTCATTTCCGAGGCCTGCAGCTGGCTTCTGTGAGCTGTTGTCATTGTCCATGACTCACACTCATAGGTCAGGACTGGTACATAGGTAGAGCAGTAAACAGCCATTTTCTTGCCAATTTCTCTTTTGCTAAGAAACCCTTGGTTTATGGCTTGGAGGAGTCTCCTAGCAACTGCTTTTCGTGTAGCCAGCTCAGTCTGAAGGCCTTCATTTTGATCTAACACAACTCCAAAGTATTTGAACTGGTTGACCTGCTCCAATGCATACATTTTGTGACTATTGGAAAGATCTGTGAAAGGAGGGATAGAGGAAGACAACGAGAGAAGATTCTTTACAGTCTTGTTGCATGGCATGGAGGTGTGTCGGCACACAAACTAATACATGCTGCAGGAGATCGCAGATTGCGGAGAGGCATGATTGCCCATGCCAGTCGGCAAGGCACATCATGATGAGAGCCAAATCAAATCACTTAGTGGGCACTTTATCAAAGCAAGTCTTTCTGAGATGTAGAGAACACCTTTTTTTTTATTGACGGCCTACTAAATCTAAATTCTTAACATCTAAAATAGACCTAATGCTAACCAGTTTTTAAATGTACCTGTTGCTAACCAAGCTGCTGGGAATAAATCTGTTGCTAATCAAGCTGTTGTGAAGGAAACTGTTGTGAAGGAAACTGTTGTGAAGGGAATCTGTTGTGAATGAATCTGTTGTGAATGAATCTGTTGTGAATGAAGCTGTTGTGAATGAATCTGTTGTGAATGAAGCTGTTGTGAATGAAGCTGTTGGGAATGAAGCTGTTGGGAATGAAGCTGTTGGGAATGAAGCTGTAGTGAATGAACCTACTGGGAATGAAGCTGTAGTGAATGAACCTACTGGGAATGAACTTACTGGGAAATAAACCTACTGTGAATGAACCTACTGGGAAATAAACCTACTGTGAATGAACCTACTGGGAAATAAGCTGTTGTGAATGAACCTGTAATTTCAATATCTGAACATGAAAAATGTGTTGCAAGTGATTGCCATGATTGTCTGTACTGCAGTATGCCCTGGTGGTTCGTGGTGGGCACAAGATGAGCATCCTGGCTGAAGAAATTGTTGTTGGCGACATTGTGGAGGTCAAGTTTGGAGATCGTGTGCCTGCTGACATCAGAATTATTTCTGCTAGCGGATTTAAGGTGAGATTAATTTACATATATAAAGGACCTGACAAGAGTGATAAATAATGGAAATGACTTTTACTGACTGACCGACTCTTACCCCACCGGGACATCACACTAAGTGGTAAACACACAGTGACACAAAGTGCCACCATTCGGATGAGGATCACCCTTGGAAAAGTCCCAGAAACCCCGTTCAACCGTTAGATTATATTAGGGCCTCGGGCAACAGACAAGTGGGGCTTCAAAATAACGAAAAATTTGTCCTACATGGGGACAGAAATCACTAAAAAAATCAAATATGCAAAGATATATCAGATACAGTTCATGTAGTAGTATTTTCATCATCAATAATATCATGTTCATCCATTAGGGATATCACTGGGATATATAGTGTCCACTGTATTTTCAGTGTAGAAAAGTTCTTGCTCTTTGTGGCCAAAGTTACATAAATGCTGACTGGCAAATTGGTGGGCATTTTGTGAAACATATGTGGTCTATAGGAAATAGGAGAGTCACGGCCCTTACATCAACACAAGATAGAAAATGTAATTGAGCAAATCATGTTAAGCCGGGCTCTGATGTACCAGTGGTAACCACCAACTAGCAAACAAGCATTTCGTAAAAGTTGATTAATTAATTTAGGAAGTTCCCTTTAAGTCGGAGTGTATTTGCCTGAGAGGCAAGGAATCAGCAATCTGCTTAGAGAAAAAAAATTATATTTGTAAAACGGATGTGCACGTAAAACTCTAGTTCTGGAACAACACTTAAGTCCAGAGATGGACAAACAACCAGAAATTTCCAATGGATTCACAGTCGGTGAAGGGAAGACACTTCAGTCTCTCCATTGTTGTACCATTCTTCTATGAAACCATATATCTGCATTGTTTCCACGATTTCTTATTAAACTGCTACCAATGATTTCCACAACTGAATTAAAGATACTGCAAGTAAAATAGAAAAGAAAAATAAAATCAGCTAAAAATACCAGTCAAACAGATATAGAAAGATGAACCGAGAAAAACAATGAAGGTGGCACGCATAAAATAGAAATTAGTGTAATTATACGCGCATCGATTGAAACCATCAAGGAAGACGACAGAAATGCGCTGGCTGTAGAGAATGCAACCAGAATCTATGTTTAAAAAAATACACCAGCGATGGAATTTGTTGAGGTTGACTGGCCTGCAGCTGTATTGAAATGGATAGCAGCAAGTTACTGTCAGATGTAATATGTCAGGTGGTGATGTAATATGTCAGGTGGTGATGTAATATGTCAAGTGGGGATGTAATATGTCAGGTGGTGATGTAATATGTCAAGTGGGAATGTAATATGTCAGGTGGGGGTGTAATATGTCTGGTGGTGGTGTAATATGTCTGGTGGTGGTGTAATATGTCAGGCTGTGGTGTAATATGTCAGACTGTGGTGTAATATGTCAGGCTGTGGTGTAATGTGTCAGGCTGTGGTGTAATATGTCTGGAGGTGGTGTAATATGTCTGGAGGTGGTGTAATATGTCTGGAGGTGGTGTAATATGTCTGGAGGTGGTGTAATATGTCTGGAGGTGGTGTAATATGTCTGGAGGTGGTGTAATATGTCAGGCTGTGGTGTAATATATCAGGCAGTGGTGTAATATGTCAGGCGGTGGTGTAATATGTCAGGCGGTGGTGTAATATGTCAGGCGGTGGTGTAATATGTCTGGTGGTGGTGTAATATGTCTGGTGGTGGTGTAATATGTCTGGTGGTGGTGTAATGTGTCTGGTGGTGGTGTAATGTGTCTGGTGGTGGTGTAATGTGTCTGGCGGTGGTGTAATGTGTCTGGCGGTGGTGTAATGTGGCTGGCGGTGGTGTAATGTGGCTGGCGGTGGTGTAATGTGGCTGGCGGTGGTGTAATGTGGCTGACGGTGGTGTAATGTGGCTGGCGGTGGTGTAATGTGGCTGGCGGTGGTGTAATGTGGCTGGCGGTGGTGTAATGTGGCTGGCGGTGGTGTAATGTGGCTGGCGGTGGTGTAATGTGGCTGGCGGTGGTGTAATGTGGCTGGCGGTGGTGTAATGTGGCTGGCGGTGGTGTAATGTGTCAGGCGGTGGTGTAATGTGTCTGGCGGTGGTGTAATCTGTCTGGCGGTGGTGTAATCTGTCTGGCGGTGGTGTAATATGTCTGGCGGTGGTGTAATGTGGCTGGCGGTGGTGTAATGTGGCTGGCGGGTGGTGTAATGTGGCTGGCGGTGGTGTAATGTGGCTGGCGGGGGGGGGGGGGGGGGGGGGGGGGGGGGGTGGGGGGGGGGGGGGGGGGGGGGGGGGGGGGGGGGGGGGGGGGGGGTGGGGGGGGGGGGGGGGGGGGGGGGGGGTGGGGGGGGGTGGGGGGGGGGGGGGGGGGGGGGGGGTGGGGGGGGGGGGGGGGGTGGGGGGGGGGGGGGGGGGGGTGTGGGGGGGGGGGGGGGGGGTGGGGGTGGGGGGGGGGGGGGGGGGGGGGTGGGGGGGTGGGGTGGGGGGGGGGGGTGGGGGGGGGGGGGGGGGGGGGGGGGGGGGGGGTGGGGGTGGGGGGGGGGGGGTGGGGGGGGGGCGGTGGTGTAATGTGGCTGGCGGTGATGTAATGTGGCTGGCGGTGATGTAATGTGGCTGGCGGTGATGTAATGTGGCTGGCGGTGATGTAATATGGCTGGCTGTGATGTAATATGGCTGGCTCTGATGTAATATGGCAGGCTGTGATGTGAGGTCGTGTGATGTAATATTTGAGGTTGTGATGTAATAACAAGTTGTGATGTATCAATGGTTTACAATGTCAGGTTGTGATGTAATCTGTCAGGGTATGATGTAACGTCACATTGTGATTTAAAGTCAGGTTGGGGTGTGTTATGTCAGGCTGTGATGTATAAGTGGTTTACAGTATCAGGTTCTGAATGGTTAGTTGCTAGGCCAGGGAAATATCACCCATGTTCTTGTGATTCCAGATTGACAACTCTTCCCTGACCGGAGAATCTGAGCCCCAAACCCGAACGCCAGATTTCACCCATGAGAACCCACTGGAAACGAGAAACTTAGCTTTTTTCTCCACCAATGCTGTTGAAGGTAATGTTTCTTTCTATTGTTCTACCAAAGGTGTTTTCACAAGTACCTCAACCTGGAGTATAGCCAGCTTCTTGAAGTCATTGTTCACACATTTCATATAATTTCAGATATATTCTTGTATTTATTGCCGTTCAGAACACATTGATATTCTTCCTTGTGGCCACTGGCTGCAAACTCCAGCAGAAAGTTTTGTTTATCCACTTCTGGACTTTTAGTTTTTTGAGAATTTGAGTTTTGTGTGCATGTTCATTTTTGAGATCTGGCTTGTTTGTTTGCAGACTGATATTTCCTCACTCCTCAAGCAAGAAACATGCTGACTTTTAGGACATGTTTGTCAGACGGCAGAATGTCTGTTCCTTTTATCTCCACAACAGGACCTCAGCACTCAAATCAGAAAATAATAATTATTATTATTGCACAATAAGGACCCCCAACCCCACCCCACCTACTCATGCTGCCTAGAAAATTATGAAGATGATCATTCCACCCAATGTTTTCTTCATGGTGGCAGGCCTGGGAGTTTTTCTCATATGCTATTGGTTACATTTCTGTTGTGGTACCACAGTGTCTTTCTCCCATGCTCTATTATTGTACCCCAAGTGTCTTTATCCTGCACTAATGCTGTTGGTTACATTTCTATTACTGTATCACAGGTGTCTATATCCTGCACTAATGCTGTTGGTTACATTTCTATTACTGTATCACAGGTGTCTTTCTCCTGCACTAATGCTGTTGGTTACATTTCTATTACTGTATCACAGGTGAATTTATCCTGCACTAATGCTGTTGGTTACATTTTTATTACTGTATCACAGGTGTCTTTCTCCTGCACTAATGCTGTTGGTTACATTTCTATTACTGTATCACAGGTGTCTTTATCCTGTACTAATGCTGTTGGTTACATTTCTATTACTGTATCACAGGTGTCTTTATCCTGCACTAATGCTGTTGGTTACATTTCTATTACTGTATCACAGGTGTCTTTATCCTGCACTAATGCTGTTGGTGACTTATTTTTATTCTATTTCAGTGCTCAGCTAGTCAAATACATTTTTTTTTAACAAATCTGGGATGCTTAAAGTAACAGTTGGGTCTGCTATATAATTTTATTCTCTCAACTATCTAACTATCAAAGTAACATTTTGAGTCTGCTATATAATTTTATTCTCTCAACTATCTAACTATCAAAGTAACATTTTGAGTCTGCTATATAATTTTATTCTCTCAACTATCTAACTATCAAAGTAACATTTTGAGTCTGCTATATAATTTTATTCTCTCAACTATCTAACTATCAAAGTAACATTTTGAGTCTGCTATATAATTTTATTCTCTCAACTATCTAACTATCAAAGTAACATTTTGAGTCTGCTATATAATTTTATTCTCTCAACTATCTATCTATCACAGTAACATTTTGAGTCTGCTATATAATTTTATTCTCTCAACTATCTATCAAAGTAACATTTTGAGTCTGCTATATAATTTTATTCTCTCAACTATCTAACTATCAAAGTAACATTTTGAGTCTGCTATATAATTTTATTCTCTCAACTATCTAACTATCAAAGTAACATTTTGAGTCTGCTATATAATTTTATTCTCTCAACTATCTAACTATCAAAGTAACATTTTGAGTCTGCTATATAATTTTATTCTCTCAACTATCTAACTATCAAAGTAACATTTTGAGTCTGCTATATAATTTTATTCTCTCAACTATCTAACTATCAAAGTAACATTTTGAGTCTGCTATATAATTTTATTCTCTCAACTATCTAACTATCAAAGTAACATTTTGAGTCTGCTATATAATTTTATTCTCTCAACTATCTAACTATCAAAGTAACATTTTGAGTCTGCTATATAATTTTATTCTCTCAACTATCTATCAAAGTAACATTTTGAGTCTGCTATATAATTTTATTCTCTCAACTATCTATCAAAGTAACATTTTGTGTCTATATAATTTTATTCTCTCAACTATCTAACTATCAAAGTAACATTTCGAGTCTGCTATATAATTTTATTCTCTCAACTATCTAACTATCAAAGTAACATTTCGAGTCTGCTATATAATTTTATTCTCTCAACTATCTAACTATCAAAGTAACATTCTGAGTCTGCTATATAATTTTATTCTCTTAACTATCTAACTATCAAAGTAACATTTTGAGTCTGCTATATAATTTTATTCTCTCAACTATCTAACTATCAAAGTAACATTTTGAGTCTGCTATATAATTTTATTCTCTCAACTATCTATCAAAGTAACATTTTGAGTCTGCTATATAATTTTATTCTCTCAACTATCTATCAAAGTAACATTTTGTGTCTATATAATTTTATTCTCTCAACTATCTAACTATCAAAGTAACATTTCGAGTCTGCTATATAATTTTATTCTCTCAACTATCTAACTATCAAAGTAACATTTCGAGTCTGCTATAATTTTGTTATCATCAACAGGTACAGCATCTGGTATTGTTGTCAAGGTTGGAGACAAGACGGTGATTGGCCGAATTGCAACCTTGACCTCAGGTCTCGAGGTTGGAGAAACCCCAATAGCCAAAGAAATTGCTCACTTTATCCACATTATCACATTTTGTGCTGTTTTTGTTGGCGTCCTATTTTTCATCATCGCCTTCATCCTGGGCTACAACTGGCTAGATGCCGTCATCTTTCTCATTGGTATCATTGTGGCTTGGGTACCTGAAGGTCTCCTGGCTACCGTCACGGTAAGTTTGTTTTCATGTTTTATTTATAGATTGTATGTTTTTTCCTGTTTTATTTACACATGTTGTTTATAGATTTGACACATTTGAGTAGTGTAAACAGGCAGGTAGATTTGAGTCAGCACATGCTAGCACACAAATGTGGCACACAGGCAGCATAAATCTGGCACACAGGCAGCATAAATCTGGCATACTGATTGAACACAGACTTTGCCATTTCCCAGTAAACAAAACAGAATCTTGTTAAACTTTATCTTTATAAAACTAAACTATGGAAAAAAATTGTTCTTCTCATACTCATCACCATCCTTCTTATGATACGTATGCAAATCATGCGACTGAAAACTAGTCTTCCATAAAAGTCTGTGCTGTCTCCCAGTTAGTCTGTGAAATATTTACAGGCTAGTATTACATCTGTACTGTCCTGCATCTAGACTTTATATATATATATATATATATATATATATATATATATATATATATATATATATATATATATATATACTGTCTTCCATCTATTCTTAAATCTATACCATCTTCTGACAGTCTTATATCTGTACTGTCTTGTGATAAGTCTTATATCTGTGGGAGTCGCTGAGGGGGAGCGGCTAGACGCTCCTCATGGATCTGAAGGTCGTGGGTTTACTCACTGGAAGATCCTGACTGTTTCCAAAATTACCTTAGCTCCCAGGTCGACCCAGCCTTGAGTGGGTACCGGATGCAGTTCCAGGAAGTCAAGGCGGCTGGCTAAATGCTGACCACATCAGCCATCTTGTGCCGATTGGTCTATAAAATATAGGTCTAGCCCTAGATTCCATAAAGTCTTTTATCTAGTCATAAATCTGTACTGTCTTTAGTCTATGCTATCTGTGGCTTAGGCATTGCAAACAAGCTGTGCAATGCCAGGGTGTCGGGTTAAATCTCACCTGTGAATGATCTGTCCTATGTTGATTTCCACAGTGCTGCTGACTGCTCAGAAAGCAGTGGCAAACTACTGGGGAAACAAATTTGCCTAGAAAAATCACAACAGCCAAATAAAGGTTGGTGTTTTTTCTGCAACTTCCTGTAAAAGATACTCAGCTAACTTCATCTCCCTAGTCTGATAATTGTGCTTCCAGCCAATCTGGCATCTGTGCTGTCTTGTAGCTAGTCACAGGTCTGTGGCAATGTTGGACAGGTACGACTGAAACCTTTGTTGTGTTACAGGTCTGTGGCAATGTTGGACAGGTATGACTGAAACCCTTGTTGTGTTACAGGTGTGCCTGACACTGACTGCCAAGCGTATGGCCAAGAAGAACTGCCTGGTGAAGAACCTGGAAGCTGTGGAAACTCTGGGCTCCACGTCCACCATCTGCTCCGACAAGACAGGAACCTTGACCCAGAACAGGATGACTGTAGCTCACATGTGGTTTGATAGCCGCATCGTGGAGGCAGACACCAGTGAAAACCAATGGAGTATGTAGAAATATTAAGTGTTTCTTTGCCAGACATAAACTGCAACCACTGACAATTAGAACATGTTATTTATGGTAATATTATATTACTTTCATACTGGTAAACACTTGAAATATATTCACATTGACATCAGGGTTGGAAAAGGGGGCGGGGGGTGGAGATAAGAGGATCACAAGAGTACAGTGGAAAAGACAGAAGATCATGAGAGGACGGTGGAGGGGACAGAAGATCATGAGAGGACAGTGGAGAAGACAGAATATCATGAGGGGACAGTGGAGAGGACAGAAGATCATGAGAGTACAGTGGAGAAGACAGAAGATCATGAGAGTACAGTGGAGAAGACAGAAGATCGTGAGAGAACAGTGGAGAAGACAGAAGATCATGAGAGTACAGTGGAGAGGACAGAAGATCATGAGAGTACAGTGGAGAAGACAGAAGATCATGAGAAGACAGAAGACCATGAGAAGACAGAAGATCATGAGAAGACAGAAGATCATGAGAAGACAGAAGATCATGAGAAGACAGAAGATCATGAGAAGACAGAAGATCATGACAAGACAGAAGATCATGAGAAGACAGAAGATCATGAGAAGACAGAAGATCATGAGAAGACAGAAGATCATCAGAAGACAGAAGATCATCAAAAGACAGAAGATCATGAGAGAACAGTGGAGAGGACAAGATCATGAGAGGACAGTGGAGAAGACAAGATTATGAGAGAAAAGTGGAGAAGACAAGATTATGAGAGAAAAGTGGAGAAGACAAGATTATAAAAGAAAAATGGAGAAGACAAGATTATGAGAGGACAGTGGTAAGACAGAAGAATATGAGAGTACTGTGGAGAGGACAGAAGATCATGAGAGGACAGGCTGCTTGGTAGCTGTTCACATGTGGAATGTTGTAGAACAAGGCCATTTAATTAGAACATAGAACAAGACCATTTGTCTAGAACAAGACCATTTGTCTAGAACAAGACCATTTGTCTAGAACATAGAACAAGACCATTTGTCTAGAACATAGAACAAGACCATTTGTCTAGAACATAGAACAAGACCATTTGTCTAGAACATAGAACAAGACCATTTGTCTAGAACATAGAACAAGACCATTTGTCTAGAACATAGAACAAGACCATTTGTCTAGAACATAGAACAAGACCATTTGTCTAGAACATAGAACAAGACCATTTGTCTAGAACATAGAACAAGACCATTTGACTAGAACATAGATCAAGACCATTTGTCTAGAACATAGAACAAGACCATTTGACTAGAACATAGATCAAGACCATTTGTCTAGAACATAGAGCAAGACCATTTGTCTAGAACATAGAGCAAGACCATTTGACTAGAACATAGAACAAGACCATTTGACTAGAACATAGAACAAGACCATTTGTCTAGAACATAGAACAAGACCATTTGTCTAGAACATAGAACAAGGCCATTTGTCTAGAACATAGAACAAGGCCATTTGTCTAGAACATAGAACAAGGCCATTTGTCTAGAACATAAAACTATACCATTTGTCTAGAACATAAAACAAGGCCATTTGTCTAGAACATAGATCAAGACCATTTGTCTAGAACATAGAACAAGACCATTTGACTAGAACATAGAACAAGTACATTTGTCTAGAACATAGAACAAGACCATTTGTCTAGAACATAGAACAAGACCATTTGTCTAGAACATAGAACAAGACCATTTGTCTAGAACATAGAACAAGACCATTTGTCAAGAACATAGAACAAGACCATTTGTCTAGAACATAGAACAAGACCATTTGTCTAGAACATAGAACAAGACCATTTGTCTAGAACATAGAACAAGAACATTTGTCTAGAACATAGAACAAGACCATTTGACTAGAACATAGAACAAGACCATTTGTCTAGAACATAGAACAAGACCATTTGTCTAGAACATAGAACAAGACCATTTGTCTAGAACATAGAACACGCCATTTGTCTAGAACATAGAACAAGACCATTTGTCTAGAACATAGAACAAGACCATTTGACTAGAACATAGAACAAGACCATGTTTATGTCTGCAAGCTCGTTTGTATGCATGTGTGTGTACATGTATGTTGTCAGATTGACAGACAAACAACCATGATAGCTTGTGACCAGATCAAGCTAGTACAGGAACACAAATGTTAGTAGCAGATCTAAACCTGGATATGGTTCTGTTTCAGACGCCTTGTATTCTCAGAACGACCAGTCTTGGATGGCTCTTGCCAGAATTGGCATCTTATGTAACCGTGCTGAGTTCAAAGTTGGACAGGAGGATGTGCCAGTACTGAAACGGTGAGCTAAAACTTGGGAGAGGGGGGGGGGGGGGGGGGTAGGGAGGTCAGTGGCTGAAACTTTGGTGTCAGTCAGTGGTTGGTACTTTGGTATCAGTCAGTGGTTGGTACTTTGGTGTCAGTCAGTGGTTGGAACTTTGGTGTCAGTCACTGGTTGGAACTTTAGGGTACAGTCAGTGACTAGAACTTTAGGGCCAGTCAGTGGTTGAAACTTTAGGTTCAGTCAGTGGCTGAGCATACCCCTGAACTTCGGTGAGTGATACTGTCCAGCGGGACTTGCTGTGTGAAATGTATAGAGGTGTGTGCAGCACTTGCTGTGTGAAATGTATAGAGGTGTGTGCAGCACTTGCTGTGTGAAATTTATAGGAGTGTGTGAAGCACTTGCTGTGTGAAATTTATAGGAGTGTGTGAAGCACTTGCTGTGTGAAATGTATAGGGGTGTGTGTAGCACTTGCTGTGTGAAATGTATAGAGGTGTGTGCAGCACTTGCTGTGTGAAATTTATAGGAGTGTGTGAAGCACTTGCTGTGTGAAATGTATAGGAGTGTGTGAAGCACTTGCTGTGTGAAATGTATAGGGGTGTGTGCAGCACTTGCTGTGTGAAATGTATAGAGGTGTGTGCAGCACTTGCTGTGTGAAATGTATAGAGGTGTGTGCAGCACTTGCTGTGTGAAATGTATATGAGTGTGTGCAGCACTTGCTGTGTGAAATGTATATGAGTGTGTGCAGCACTTGCTGTGTGAAATGTATATGAGTGTGTGCAGCACTTGCTGTGTGAAATGTATAGAGGTGTGTGCAGCACTTGCTGTGTGAAATGTATAGAGGTGTGTGCAGCACTTGCTGTGTGAAATGTATAGAGGTGTGTGCAGCACTTGCTGTGTGAAATGTATAGGAGTGTGTGCAGCACTTGCTGTGTGAAATGTATAGAGGTGTGTGCAGCACTTGCTGTGTGAAATGTATATGAGTGTGTGCAGCACTTGCTGTGTGAAATGTATATGAGTGTGTGCAGCACTTGCTGTGTGAAATGTATAGAGGTGTGTGCAGCACTTGCTGTGTGAAATGTATAGAGGTGTGTGCAGCACTTGCTGTGTGAAATGTATAGGAGTGTGTGCAGCACTTGCTGTGTGAAATGTATATGAGTGTGTGCAGCACTTGCTGTGTGAAATGTATATGAGTGTGTGCAGCACTTGCTGTGTGAAATGTATAGGAGTGTGTGCAGCAATTGCTGTGTGAAATGTATATGAGTGTGTGCAGCACTTGCTGTGTGAAATGTATAGGAGTGTGTGCAGCACTTGCTGTGTGAAATGTATAGAGGTGTGTGCAGCACTTGCTGTGTGAAATGTATAGGAGTGTGTGCAGCACTTGCTGTGTGAAATGTATAGAGGTGTGTGCAGCACTTGCTGTGTGAAATGTATATGAGTGTGTGCAGCACTTGCTGTGTGAAATGTATAGAGGTGTGTGCAGCACTTGCTGTGTGAAATGTATATGAGTGTGTGCAGCACTTGCTGTGTGAAATGTATAGAGGTGTGTGCAGTACTTGCTGTGTGAAATGTATATGAGTGTGTGCAGCACTTGCTGTGTGAAATGTATATGAGTGTGTGCAGCACTTGCTGTGTGAAATGTATAGAGGTGTGTGCAGCACTTGCTGTGTGAAATGTATAGGAGTGTGTGCAGCACTTGCTGTGTGAAATGTATAGAGGTGTGTGCAGCACTTGCTGTGTGAAATGTATATGAGTGTGTGCAGCACTTGCTGTGTGAAATGTATAGAGGTGTGTGCAGCACTTGCTGTGTGAAATGTATAGAGGTGTGTGCAGCACTTGCTGTGTGAAATGTATAGGAGTGTGTGCAGCACTTGCTGTGTGAAATGTATAGGGGTGTGTGCAGCACTTGCTGTGTGAAATGTATAGAGGTGTGTGCAGCACTTGCTGTGTGAAATGTATAGGGGTGTGTGCAGCACTTGCTGTGTGAAATATTTAGGAGTGTGTGAAGCACTTGCTGTGTGAAATGTATAGAGGTGTGTGAAGCACTTGCTGTGTGCAATTTATAGGGGTGTGTGAAGCACTTGCTGTGTGAAATGTGTAGGAGTGTGTGAAGCACTTGCTGTGTGAAATGTATAGGAGTGTGTGAAGCACTTGCTGTGTGAAATGTATAGGAGTGTATGAAGAACTTGCTGTGTGAAATGTATAGGAGTGTGCAGCACTTGCTGTGTGAAATGTATAGAGGTGTGTGCAGCACTTGCTGTGTGAAATGTATAGGAGTGTGTGCAGCACTTGCTGTGTGAAATGTATAGAGGTGTGTGCAGCAGTTGCTGTGTGAAATGTATATGAGTGTGTGCAGCACTTGCTGTGTGAAATGTATAGAGGTGTGTGCAGCACTTGCTGTGTGAAATGTATATGAGTGTGTGCAGCACTTGCTGTGTGAAATGTATAGAGGTGTGTGCAGTACTTGCTGTGTGAAATGTATATGAGTGTGTGCAGCACTTGCTGTGTGAAATGTATATGAGTGTGTGCAGCACTTGCTGTGTGAAAATGTATAGAGGTGTGTGCAGCACTTGCTGTGTGAAATGTATAGGAGTGTGTGCAGCACTTGCTGTGTGAAATGTATAGAGGTGTGTGCAGCACTTGCTGTGTGAAATGTATATGAGTGTGTGCAGCACTTGCTGTGTGAAATGTATAGAGGTGTGTGCAGCACTTGCTGTGTGAAATGTATAGAGGTGTGTGCAGCACTTGCTGTGTGAAATGTATAGGAGTGTGTGCAGCACTTGCTGTGTGAAATGTATAGGGGTGTGTGCAGCACTTGCTGTGTGAAATGTATAGAGGTGTGTGCAGCACTTGCTGTGTGAAATGTATAGGGGTGTGTGCAGCACTTGCTGTGTGAAATATTTAGGAGTGTGTGAAGCACTTGCTGTGTGAAAATGTATAGAGGTGTGTGAAGCACTTGCTGTGCGCAATTTATAGGGGTGTGTGAAGCACTTGCTGTGTGAAATGTGTAGGAGTGTGTGAAGCACTTGCTGTGTGAAATGTATAGGAGTGTGTGAAGCACTTGCTGTGTGAAATGTATAGGAGTGTGTGAAGAACTTGCTGTGTGAAATGTATAGGAGTGTGTAGCACTTGCTGTGTGAAATTTATAGGAGTGTGTGTAGCACTGGTTGTGGGAATGTGTGGGAGGGTGTGTAGCATGTGAGATAATTTGTATGAATGTTTGTAGCACTCGTTGTGGGAATGTGTAGGAGGGTGTGTAGCACGTGAGAGAATTTGTAAGAATGTGTGTAGCACTTGTGAAAATGTATACAAGTGTATGTAGCATTTGTTGTGGGCATGAGTAGGAAGTGTGTGTAGCACTTGTGAGAATGGGTACAAGTGTGTGCAGTACTTGTTGTGAGAATGTGTACGAGTGTGTGCAGCACTTGTGAGAATGTGTACGAGTGTGTGCAGCACTTGTGAGAATGTGTAAAAGTGTGTGCAGCTAGTTTTTTAGCCAGTTCTGTTTATGTTAGTAAATAGTATGAGTTGCTGCATAAAAACAAATTCGTCTTCAAAACAATTCAACATAGATTTGATGTCCAGAACAAAATTAGAGAATATAATTTGATGTCAAGAACATGAGCAGTAGTAGAAAACCTAACATTTGTTGTCTGTGCAATTAATTATTTATCAGTGTAATCTTATTTCTAATTCAAATCTCTTCTAATGTCACTTACTTGCAAATGTAATGTTTGTCTCTGTAACCCCTCCATTAGAGATTGTAACGGAGATGCCTCTGAGTCAGCTCTGCTGAAATGTGTGGAACTTTCCATCGGAAATGTCACAGAATATCGTCGCAGGAACAAAAAGATTTGTGAAATCCCATTTAATTCAACCAACAAATATCAGGTCAGTTTCTTTCAGATTTTAAGATTTAACTTTTTTTATCTTTAGTATTCATTTGAAGACACTATTGTGCAAATGAGGGTATCAAAAATGTCACATGTGTTAAATGTGTGCAGACAAAAACCTGTCTGTTAGTACCACCCAATCATTGCAAACAAGAGCAGGTAGTGAAAATTCTCTCTGAAAATTCTACCATGTCAGAATGAACTTTGCAAACAGGTAATCTTCTTATCTACAGAGCAGTTAATAAAAATTGATTTTAAAGCCAAATCTTTTAGTTAGTTATGCATGTTTACCCTAATACTTGTACAAACATTAAACTCTCACTTGCTATTTCTCTGCCTTCCTTCCTTTCCCTCTCTACAGTTAAAAATAATACACATTTTAAACTCACTCGTCAAAAAATTTAAATATTAAAGTAAATTTGTCTTGTCATTCTAATAAAACATTAACAGCAACTCTTTCTCTCTTGTTCTGTATGTCCCCCCCCCCCCTCTGTCTCTGTCTCTCTCTCTGTTAAACTCATGTCCTCCTTGTGTCACCTCTGTCCTGCTAACTCATGTCCTCCTTGTGTCACCTCTGTCCTGCTAACAAAGAGATGTGTAAATGTCTCTCTATCTCTGCTAAACACATGTCCTCCTTGTGTCACCTCTGTCCTGCTAACAAAGAGATGTGTAAATGTCTCTCTATCTCTGCTAAACACATGTCCTCCTTGTGTCACCTCTGTCCTGCTAACAAAAAGATGTGTAAATGTCTCTCTCTCTCTCTGTTAAATGCATGTCCTCCTTGTGTCACCTCTGTCCTAACAAAGAGATGTGTATGTGTCTCAGCTCTGTTTTACAGTCATTTATTTGAATTAACGCCCACACATTATTTGTGGAAAACTGAAAAAATGCAAGCAGGCCACAATTGGGAACTGTGAATAGACTTTTACATAACAAATGAAGGAATGAACTAAAGAATCAACGAATGAAGGAATGAACTAAAGAATCAACAAATGAAGGAATGAACTAAAGAATCAACGAATGAAGGAATGAACTAAAGAATCAACGAATGAAGGAATGAACTAAAGAATCAACGAATGAAGGAATGAACTAAAGAATCAACAAATGAAGGAATGAACTAAAGAATCAACGAATGAAGGAATGAACTAAAAGAATCAACGAATGAAGGAATGAACTAAAGAAATCAACGAATGAAGGAATGAACTAAAGAATCAACGAATGAAGGAATGAACTAAAGAATCAACGAATGAAGGAATGAACTAAAGAATCAACGAATGAAGGAATGAACTAAAGAATCAACGAATGAAGGAATGAACTAAAGAATCAACGAATGAAGGAATGAACTAAAGAATCAATGAATGAAGGAATGAACTAAAGAATCAACGAATGAAGGAATGAACTAAAGAATCAACGAATGAAGGAATGAACTAAAGAATCAACGAATGAAGGAATGAACTAAAGAATCCAGAATTGACATCATTGTACCAAGAACATCCCTGCACATGCTCTGTCAACTTCTTCAAGTCTCCGTGCTAATAGCTGACAGTGTCCGTGCTAATAGCTGACAGTGTCCGTGCTAATAGCTGACAGTCTCCGTGCTAATAGCTGACAGTCTCCGTGCTAATAGCTGACAGTCTCCGTGCTAATAGCTGACAGTCTCCGTGCTAATAGCTGACAGTCTCCGTGCTAATAGCTGACAGTCTCCGTGCTAATAGCTGACAGTCTCCGTGCTAATAGCTGACAGTCTCCGTGCTAATAGCTGACAGTCTCCGTGCTAATAGCTGACAGTCTCCGTGCTAATAGCTGACAGTCTCCGTGCTAATAGCTGACAGTCTCCGTGCTAATAGCTGACAGTCTCCGTGCTAATAGCTGACAGTCTCCGTGCTAATAGCTGACAGTCTCCGTGCTAATAGCTGACAGTCTCCGTGCTAATAGCTGACAGTCTCCGTGCTAATAGCTGACAGTCTCCGTGCTAATAGCTGACAGTCTCCGTGCTAATAGTTCCAGTTGCTACTGGGGACTTGTTTCCCCTCAGCATTGAATATCATCCTCACCCCCTTCCTTCCTGCCCTGCATTTTTATATAACTAATAATTTTTCTGCAAATTGATAAAGCAATTGGGGGGGGGGGGGGGGGGGGATTTTCTACAGAAAATCTTGAACAACTCAGTATAGATCTTAGACTTCATTGATGACACTGCTCTTCTGCTACACAAACAAAATCAGATGTTAAATAATTTAAACATCTTTAGGGGGTTATCCACAACCAGGTCTGTATAATTCATTGTTAGTGAGAAATCCACAACCGGGTCTAAATAATTTAAACATCATTGGTGGAAAATCCACAACTGGGTCTGAATAATTTAAAAATTGTTAGTGGGAAATCCACAACTGAGTCTAAATAATTTAAACATTGTTAGTGGGAAATCCACAAACGGGTCTAAACATTCCAGAAAATTAGAATAACCCAGTCCAACAATAATCACTCCAGTCCCTTTTGGTGATGCCTTTTGGTGATGCCTTTTGGTGATGCCTTTTGGTGATGCCCTACTTCAAAATGGGAAACGATTCACATTTTTAGGCGGTAATCTAGATACAGTTGAAAACAGGCAGAACTATAAGAATGAAAATTACAATTACAACTGAGGTTTTTAAAACAATAGGAAATCTGGAAGTCAAAGACATTGAAAAATAGTCCCAAACTGAGATTATTGAACCTAAATCAGATCTGTACTGCTGTTGAAGCAGAAATGTGTGATACTGGAAAATAGATTACATTCATTAAATGCACGAAGCAAAAAACACTTTGTTGGGATGATAGAATCATTTATAACGAGCACTGCGGCTGAATGAAACAAATTCTAGTGATCAAGAGGTAAAGGGAAGATGTTGGCACTGTACAAGAGATGAGGGAAAGATGCTGGCACTGTACAAGAGGTGAGGGAAAGATGATGGCACTGTACAAGAGATGAGGGAAAGATGCTGGCACTGTACAAGAGATGAGGGAAAGATGATGGCACTGTACAAGAGATGAGGGAAAGATGCTGGCACTGTACAAGAGATGAGGGAAAGATGATGGCACTGTACAAGAGATGAGGGAAAGATGATGGCACTGTACAAGTGAAGAAAAGATGCTGGCACTGTACAAGAGATGAGGGAAAGATGCTGGCACTGTACAAGAGATGAGGAAAAGATGCTGGCACTGTACAAGTGAGGAAAAGATGATGGCACTGTACAAGAGATAAGGAAAAGATGCTGGCACTGTACAAGGGAAGAAAAGATGCTGGCACTGTACAAGGGAGGAAAAGATGCTGGCACTGTACAAGAGATGAGGAAAAGATGCTGGCACTGTATAAAAGATGAGGAAAAGATGCTGGCACTGTACAAGTGAGGAAAAGATGCTGGCACTGTACAAGAGATGAGGAAAAGATGCTGGCACTGTACAAGAGATGAGGGAAAGATGCTGGCACTGTACAAGAGATGAGGGAAAGATGCTGGCACTGTACAAGTGAAGAAAAGATGCTGGCACTGTACAAGAGATGAGGAAAAGATGCTGGCACTGTACAAGAGATGAGGAAAAGATGCTGGCACTGTACAAGAGATGAGGGAAAGATGCTGGCACTGTACAAGAGATGAGGGAAAGATGCTGGCGACTGTACAACAGATGATATCACAGAAAACCTTCACCACTTCTGCTTTATCAAAACTCATTACCCAGAAGGGCGGCAGCAGCCAGTCTTTCAGCTTGCTCATTACCCCACACACCCAAATATCCTGGACATAAAATTCATGATATGCTCCAGATGATTCTCATCCAGCAAAGGAAGCTACACTTTGTGTAGGCAGCCATTGTAGTGTCTTTGTTAACATTGAGTGATAGAGGAAGAAATCCTGTTAACATTGAGTGATAGAGGAAGAAATCCTGTTAACATTGAGTGATAGAGGAAGAAATCCTGTTAACATTGAGTGATAGAGGAAGAAATCCTCAAGTGTTAATTCTTTATTTGTATGTGGTCTTGAGAATACTTGCTGCCCTCCTCAGGTATCTATCCATGAGACAGAAGACCCCAATGACCCCCGCTACCTGCTGGTGATGAAAGGTGCCCCCGAGAGAATCATGGACCGCTGCTCCACAATCCTGATGCATGGCAAGGACCAGCCCCTGGACGACAGCTTCCGCGAAGCTTTCAATGCTGCCTACATGGAGCTGGGGAGTCTTGGGGAGAGAGTTTTAGGTCAGTCATTTGATGGATGAAAGGTCTAGATGTGGGGAGAGAGTCTAAGGTCTTTGATTTGATGGATGAAAGGTCTAGATGTGGGGAGAGTCTGAAGTCAGTGATCTGATGTATGAAAGTCTATAGACTTTAGAAGAGGGTTTTAGGTGAGGGATTTGATGGATGAATGGTCTAGATGTGAGGAGAGAGTCTAAGGTCATTGATTTGATGGATGGAAGGTCTAGATGTGGGGAGAGAGTCTAAGGTCATTGATTTGATGTATGGAAAGTTTAGATGTGGGGAGAGCGTCTAAGGTCATTGATTTGATGGATGAAAGGTCTGTGGGGAGAGAGTCTAAGGTAATTGATTTGATGGATGGAAAGTTTAGATGTGGGAAGAGAGTCTAAGGTCATTGATTTGATGGATGGAAAGTCTAGATGGGGGGGGGGGGGAGTGTCTAAGGTCATTGATTTGATGGATGAAAGGTCTAGATGTGGGGAGAGAGTCTAAGGTCATTGATTTGATGGATGAAAGGTCTAGATGTGGGGAGAGAGTCTAAGGTCATTGATTTGATGGATGGAAAGTTTAGATGTGGGGAGAGAGTCTAAGGTCATTGATTTGATGGATGGAAGGTCTAGATTGGGGGGAGAGTCTAAGGTCATTGATTTGATGGATGAAAGGTCTAGATGTGGGGAGAGGTCATTGATTTGATGGATAGCTGGTTTAGAGTAAGAATCTTAGGGAGAGTCTGCATGTCCCTGAATACATGGTCAGAATGTAACTGAGCTGACGTGGTTGTATTCTGGGACATTGGGCAGAACTGTGTTAGGACACAGATGAGGTAGCATGTTTGATGGTGGAGTTTCCTTAGGACATGGATGAGATGTCATGCTGGTGATGTAGCTTTTGTTAGGGTATGAATAAAATGTGATGTCTTTCTGATGGTGTGATGTCTGTCTGATGGCATGATGTCTGTCTGATGGCGTGATGTCTGTCTGATGGCATGATGTCTGTCTGATGGCGTGATGTCTGTCTGATGGCGTGATGTCTGTCTGATGGCGTGATGTCTGTCTGATGGCGTGATGTCTGTCTGATGGCGTGATGTCTGTCTGATGGCGTGATGTCTGTCTGATGGCGTGATGTCTGTCTGATGGTGTGATGTCTGTCTGATGGCGTGGTGTCTGATCGTGTGATGGCGTGGTGTCTGATCGTGTGATGGCGTGGTGTCTGATCGTGTGATGGCGTGGTGTCTGATCGTGTGATGGCGTGGTGTCTGATCGTGTGATGGCGTGGTGTCTGATCGTGTGATGGCGTGGTGTCTGATCGTGTGATGGCGTGGTGTCTGATCGTGTGATGGTGTGGTGTCTGATCGTGTGATGGTGTGATGTCTGATCGTGTGATGGTGTGATGTCTGATTGTGTGATGGTGTGATGTCTGATTGTGTGATGGTGTGATGTCTGATTGTGTGATGGTGTGATGTATGATCGTGTGATGGTGTGATGTACGATGGTGTGATGTACGATGGTGTGATGTACGATGGTGTGATGTACGATGGTGTGATGGTGTGATGTACGATGGTGTGATGTACGATGGTGTGATGGTGTGATGTACGATGGTGTGATGGACGATGGTGTGATGTACGATGGTGTGATGGTGTGGTGTACGATGGTGTGATGTACGATGGTGTGATGTACGATGGTGTGATGTACGATGTTGTGATGTACGATGGTGTGATGTACGATGGTGTGATGTACGATGGTGTGATGGTGTGATGTACGATGGTGTGATGTACGATGGTGTGATGTACGATGGTGTGATGGTGTGATGTCGTGATGGTGTGATGGTGTGATGGTGTGATGGTGTGATGTCATGAGGGTGTGATGTCATGAGGGTGTGATGTCATGATGGTGTGATGTCATGATGGTGTGATGTCGTGATGGTGTGATGTCATGATGGTGTGATGTCATGATGGTGTGATGTCATGATGGTGTGATGTCATGATGTCATGTCTGATGGTGTGATGTCTGATGCTGTAATGTCAAGATGTCTGATGGTGTGATGTCTAATGGTGTGATGTCACTGATCATGTGAAAGTGTCATGTTCTTGGTAGATGATGCTATTCATGGTCAATGTGTTGCCATGATTATAGATCAATGTTTGTATTTGAAATAGCATTCTGTGATTATCTGTTGCCATGGTTATAGATCAATGTTTGTATTTGAAATAGGATTCTGTGATTATTTGTTGCCATGGTTATAGATCGGCATGTATTTCAAATAGAATTATGTGATTATGTGTTGCCATGGTTAATATCTGTGTATGTAAATGATGGGACAGTATGCATTGGAGCAGGTTAACCAGTTCAAATACCTTGGAGTTGTATTAGACCGAAATGGAGGCATTAAGACTGAGCTGGCTACACGAAAAGAAGCTGCTGGGAGACTCTTCCAGGTCATAAACTGAGGGTTTCTTAGCAAAAGAGAAATTGACAGGAGGACGAAAAGAGCTGTTTACTGCTCTACCTATGTACCAGTCCTGACCTATGGGTGTGAGTCATGGGCAATGACAACAGCTCACAGAAGCCAGCTGCAGGCCTCGGAAATGAGATATCTGAGAAAGGTGGTCCAAGTGACAAGAAGGGACAAAGTCCGTAATCAGACAATACGTCAAGATCTTGATACCCAGGCCTTACAAACCCGAGTGGATCAGTCACAGTTATGATGGTTTGGACATGCATGCAGAATGGGGAAAAATCGGCCACCATGGGAGGCTAAGAACCAGGGAATCAAACCTCTAGGGTGACCCAGGGTCCGGTGGGAAGACATCTGACAGTCGCTAGCTGACAGAGGACTGGAATGGAACAAAGCCAGAGAGAAAACTGCTAATAAAGACGTTTGACGACCTCTCTGGTAACCTCTACACCCCAAAGTAGAAGAGGAGTGATTAGGTATGTATGTATTTGAAATAAAATTCTGTGATTATATGTTGCAATGGTTATAGATCTGTGTGTGTATTTGAAATAGGATTCTGTGATTATGTGTTGCCTGAAGACGAATACCCGCCCAACTTTGAATTTGACCCTGAGGGACCCAACTTCCCCATCACTGGCCTGAGATTTGTGGGACTGATGTCTATGATTGACCCACCCAGAGCTGCTGTCCCAGATGCTGTCGGCAAGTGTAGAAGTGCTGGCATTAAAGTGAGTCCATGTATTCACAAATTATCCTAATTTTTTTTAGTTTGGGCAATCTATTTACTGAGTCTTATGTGACCTGTTTACTTTGTCTTATGTGACCTGTTTACTTTGTCTTTTGTGACCTGTTTACTTTGTCTTATGTGACCTGTTTACTTAGGCTTATATGAACTGTTTACTTAGGCTTATATGAACTGTTTATTAGATTTAAGATGGGACAATGGGTACTGTATTGTTCTATCAAGATGGGACAATGGGTACTGTATTGTTCTGTCAAGGTGGGACAATGGGTGCTGTGTTCTGTCAAGATGGGTCAATGGGTGCTGTATTGTTCTGTCAAGATGGGACAATGTGTGCTGTATTGTTCTGTCAATTTGGGACAATGCGTGCTGTATTGTTCTGTCAATTTAGGACAATGGGTGCTGTATTGTTCTGTCAGGTGGGACCATGGGTACTATATTGTTCTGTCAAGGTGGGACAATGGGTACTATATTGTACCGTCAAGATGGGACAATGGGTGCAGTGTTGTTTTGTCAAGGTGGGATAACAGGAGCTGTGGAAGATCAAATACAGCTCCAGCCAGAGGCTCCTGTGGCTAGTGCTCTTGACTGCTTGAATGTTATGCTGAGTTTGAATCCCTATCAGAGCAGGATTTGTTTTATGTTTATTAGCTTGTCTTCATGTATCTCAAATTAGAATAAGGACTAGAAGACTTGCTGAAAATTGAGGTGGTCCGTGTGTTGTGGAGCACATCAAGTGTTGAATCAGTGGTCTGTGTGTTGTCGAGCACATCAAGTGTTGAATCCATCCATGGTCCATATGTTGTGGAGCACATCAAGTGTTGAATCCATCCATGGTCCATATGTTGTGGAACACATCAAGTGTTGAATCCATCCATGGTCCATATGTTGTGGAGCACATCAAGTGTTGAATCCATCCATGGTCCATATGTTGTGGAGCACATCAAGTGTTGAATCCATCCATGGTCCATATGTTGTGGAGCACATCAAGTGTTGAATCCATGGTCCGTGTGTTGTGGAGCACATCAAGTGTTGAATCCATGGTTCATGTGTTGTGGAGCACATCAAGTGTTGAATCCATGGTCCATGTGTTGTGGAGCACATCAAGTGTTGAATCCATCCATGGTCCGTGTGTTGTGGAGAACATCAAGTGTTGAATCCATGGTCCGTGTGTTGTGGAGCACATCAAGTGTTGAATCCATGGTTCATGTGTTGTGGAGCACATCAAGTGTTGAATCCATGGTCCATGTGTTGTGGAGCACATCAAGTGTTGAATCCATCCATGGTCCATATGTTGTGGAGCACATCAAGTGTTGAATCCATCCATGGTCCGTGTGTTGTGGAGCACATCAAGTGTTGAATCCATGGTCCATATGTTGTGGAGCACATCAAGTGTTGAATCCATCCATGGTCCGTGTGTTGTGGAGCACATCAAGTGTTGAATCCATGGTCCATGTTGTGGAGCACATCAAGTGTTGAATCCATGGTCCATATGTTGTGGAGCACATCAAGTGTTGAATCTGTGGTCCATGTGTTGTGGAGCACATCAAGTGTTGAATCCGTGGTCCATGTGTTGTGGAGCACATCAAGTGTTGAATCTGTGGTCCGTGTTGTGGAGAACATCAAGTGTTGAATCCATGGTCCATGTGTTGTGGAGCACATCAAGTGTTGAATCCATGGTCCATGTGTTGTGGAGCACATCAAGTGTTGAATCCATCCATGGTCCGTGTGTTGTGGAGCACATCAAGTGTTGAATCCATCCATGGTCCATGTGATGTGGAGCACATCAAGTGTTGAATCCATCCATGGTCCGTTTGTTGTGGAGAACATCAAGTGTTGAATCCATCCATGGTCCGTGTGTTGTGGAGCACATCAAGTGTTGAATCCATGGTCCGTGTTGTGGAGCACATCAAGTGTTGAATCCATGGTCCATGTGTTGTGGAGCACATCAAGTGTTGAATCCATGTGTTGTGGAGCACATCAAGTGTTGAATCCATCCATGGTCCATATGTTGTGGAGCACATCAAGTGTTGAATCCATCCATGGTCCGTGTGTTGTGGAGCACATCAAGTGTTGAATCCATGGTCCATGTGTTGTGGAGCACATCAAGTGTTGAATCCATCCATGGTCCGTGTGTTGTGGAGCACATCAAGTGTTGAATCCATCCATGGTCCGTATGTTGTGGAGAACATCAAGTGTTGAATCCATCCATTGTCCGTGTGTTGTGGAGCACATCAAGTGTTGAATCCATCCATGGTCCATATGTTGTGGAGCACATCAAGTGTTGAATCCATCCATGGTCCGTGTGTTGTGGAGCACATCAAGTGTTGAATCTATCCATGGTCCGTGTGTTGTGGAGCACATCAAGTGTTGAATCCATCCATGGTCCATATGTTGTGGAGCACATCAAGTGTTGAATCCATCCATGGTCCATGTTTTGTGGAGCACATCAAGTGTTGAATCCATCCATGGTCTGTGTGTTGTGGAGCACATCAAGTGTTGAATCCATCCATGGTCAGTGTGTTGTGGAGCACATCAAATGTTGAATCCATGGTCCGTGTGTTGTGGAGCACATCAAGTGTTGAATCCATCCATGTGTTGTGGAGCACATCAAGTGTTGAATCCATCCATGGTCCGTGTGTTGTGGAGCACATCAAGTGTTGAATCCATGGTCCATGTGTTGTGGAGCACATCAAGTGTTGAATTCATCCATGGTCCGTGTGTTGTGGAGCACATCAAGTGTTGAATCCATCCATGGTCCATATGTTGTGGAGCACATCAAGTGTTGAATCCGTGGTCCATGTTGTGGAGCACATCAAGTGTTGAATCCATGGTCCGTGTGTTGTGGAGCACATCAAGTGTTGAATCCGTGGTCCATGTTGTGGAGCACATCAGGTGTTGAATCCATGGTCCATGTTGTGGAGCACATCAAGTGTTGAATCCATGGTCCATATGTTGTGGAGCACATCAAGTGTTGAATCCATGGTCCGTGTGTTGTGGAGCACATCAAGTGTTGAATCCGTGGTCCATGTTGTGGAGCACATCAAGTGTTGAATCCATGGTCCATGTTGTGGAGCACATCAAGTGTTGAATCCATGGTCCATGTTGTGGAGCACATCAAGTGTTGAATCCGTGGTCCATGTTGTGGAGCACATCAGGTGTTGAATCCGTGGTCCATGTTGTGGAGCACATCAAGTGTTGAATCCATCCATGGTCCGTGTGTTGTGGAGCACATCAGGTGTTGAATCCGTGGTCCATGTTGTGGAGCACATCAGGTGTTGAATCCATCCATGGTCCATATGTTGTGGAGCACATCAAGTGTTGAATCCATCCATGGTCCATATGTTGTGGAGCACATCAAGTGTTGAATCCATCCATGGTCCGTGTGTTGTGGAGCACATCAAGTGTTGAATCCATCCATGGTCCATATGTTGTGGAGAACATCAGGTGTTGAATCAGTGGTCCATATGTTGTGGAGCACATCAAGTGTTGAATCCATCCATGGTCCATATGTTGTGGAGCACATCAAGTGTTGAATCCATCCATGGTCCATATGTTGTGGAGCACATCAAGTGTTGAATCCATCCATGGTCCGTGTGTTGTGGAGCACATCAAGTGTTGAATCCATCCATGGTCCATGTGTTGTGGAGCACATCAAGTGTTGAATCCATCCATGGTCCATATGTTGTGGAGCACATCAAGTGTTGAATCCATCCATGGTCCATATGTTGTGGAGCACATCATCAAGTGTATGTTGTGGAGCACATCAAGTGTCGAATTCATCCATGGTCCATATGTTGTGGAGCACATCAAGTGTTGAATCCGTGGTCCGTGTGTTGTGGAGAACATCAAGTGTTGAATCCATCCGTGGTCCGTGTGTTGTGGAGAACATCAAGTGTTGAATCCATGGTCCATGTGTTGTGGAGAACATCAAGTGTTGAATCCGTGGTCCATGTGTTGTGGAGAACATCAAGTGTTGAATCCGTGGTCCGTGTTGTGGAGAACATCAAGTGTTGAATCCATGGTCTGTGTGTTGTGGAGAACATCAAGTGTTGAATCCATGGTCCGTGTTGTGGAGAACATCAAGTGTTGAATCCATGGTCCGTGTGTTGTGGAGAACATCAAGTGTTGAATCCATGGTCCGTGTTGTGGAGAACATCTAGTGTTGAATCCATAGTCCGTGTGTTGTGGAGAACATCAAGTGTTGAATCCATGGTCCATGTGTTGTGGAGAACATCAAGTGTTGAATCCGTGGTTTGTGTGTTGTGGAGAACATCAAGTGTTGAATCCGTGGTTTGTGTGTTGTGGAGAACATCAAGTGTTGAATCCATGGTCCGTGTGTTGTGGAGCGTTCGGCTTTTTTTTTTTTTTTTTTTTTATTTTTTTTTTTTATAGGGTAACAATTTTGTTTTATTTTTTTTTTTTTTTCAATTGTTTAGACAAGTTTTCTTCTTGTAAAAAATGGTAAAGATGTAGTGGACATGAGTATAGGTACAGTCAATTGATAAAGTTCCGAAAATTTTTAAAGGACTTAAAGTGAGGTCGGAAGTTGAAGAAAGATGAGTAGTATTTAGAGGCTCCTTTATTAGGCGTCCTGGCTTGAGAGAGAGGGTGTCGCTGTCCTCTGTCTGAGCCTTGCTGTTATACTACACCACAAACATGTCATTTCTACAAGTTGTGGAATCATGTCATAACCAACAGTGATAGCCACTATGTTGCTGCTTTGTGACCCCTTCCCCAACATGGCTACTTTGTGAACACCCCCCCCCCCCCAAAAAAAAAAGTGATAGCTACAATGTGGCTACCTTGTAACCCCTCAACAGTGGTATCTGCTATATGGCTATCTTGTGACCCCCCCTCCCCCTTACAGTGGTAGTTACCATGTGGCTACTTGTGACACCCCCCCTCCCCCAACAGTGGTCGCTACCATATGGATACTTGTGACTCCCCGACAGTACTGCATGGTTATCTTGGGCCCGCCACCCCCACCCTGAGTGGTCGATGCACTGTGGTTACCTTGACCCTCATGATGGTCTCATGTTAAAGACACAAACATTACTATCTGTCAGGTTATCATGGTCACAGGGGACCACCCTATCACAGCCAAGGCCATTGCCAGGTGTGTCGGCATCATCTCCGAGGGCAGCAAGACGGTCGAAGATATTGCAGCAGAACGTGGCATTCCTGTCGAGCAAGTGAATCCAAGGTAGGATCATGTCAGATTTCAAAATGTAAGCTCAGATTTTGTAATTTTGCTGGAGGCTTGAATGGGACCATTTTTTATAGTATTGTTTGAAGACTTGAATTCAGTACTCTGTGCTACAAACAGCAACAGACCGTGAGTGTCAGCCCATTGTGGCATCCCTTGAAGTAGAGGACATTAGTCACAGGGACTTATGTAATTGGTATCTTCTTCATTGTTTGTCCTACTGACATAAATGCCTTGTGTCTGTTTACAATAGAGTTGCAATATTTGTACCATTTGGCCGACACATCTGACTTCTTCAGGCATTTTTAATTCAAGTTAGTCCAGATAGTTTTGAGGGACATTTAAAGCCTGTTATATGTAGTGAATTCATCATCCCCTAATCCAGAGGTATTGAACCCTCGATGACCCATCCAGGGCAGAGCAATAGACATCACTCACCATCAAATGAGGCTTCCATAAATGCAAAGCTGATACATAGCACTTTTGTACAGGGATGCTTAACTTTGCTTCGGTATGTTCAGCCTTCCACTCATTGTGGGTAGGGAAGTAGTTGGAGCCTTCCACTCATTGTGGGTAGGGAAGTAGTTGGAGCCTTCCACTCACTGTGGGCAGGGAAGTAGTTGGAGACTTCCACTCATTGTGGGTAGGGAAGTAGTTGAAGCCTTCCACTCATTGTGGGCAGGGAAGAAGTTGGAGCCTTCCACTCATTGTGGGTAGGGAAGTAGTTGGAGCCTTCCACTCACTGTGGGCAGGGAAGAAGTTGGAGCCTTCCACTCACTGTGGGCAGGGAAGAAGTTGGAGCCTTCCACTCATTGTGGGCAGGGAAGTAGTTGGAGCCTTCCACTCATTGTGGGCAGGGAAGAAGTTGGAGCCTTCCACTCATTGTGGGTAGGGAAGTAGTTGGAGCATTCCACTCATTGTGGGCAGGGAAGAAGTTGGAGCCTTCCACTCATTGTGGGTAGGGAAGTAGTTGGAGCCTTCCACTCACTGTGGGCAGGGAAGAAGTTGGAGCCTTCCACTCATTGTGGGCAGGGAAGAAGTTGGAGCCTTCCACTCATTGTGGGCAGGGAAATAGTTGGAGCCTTCCACTCATTGTGGGCAGGGAAGTAGTTGGAGCCCTCCACTCATTGTGGGTAGGGAAGAAGTTGGAGCCCTCCACTCATTGTGGGTAGGAAAGTAGTTGGAGCCTTCCACTCATTGTGGGTAGGGAAGTAGTTGGAGCCTTCCACTCACTGTGGGCAGGGAAGTAGTTGGAGCCTTCCACTCATTGTGGGTAGGGAAGTAGTTGGAACCTTCCACTCATTGTGGGCAGGGAAGAAGTTGGAGCCTTCCACTCATTGTGGGTAGGGAAGTAGTTGGAGCCTTCCACTCACTGTGGGCAGGGAAGAAGTTGGAGCCTTCCACTCACTGTGGGCAGGGAAGAAGTTGGAGCCTTCCACTCATTGAGGGCAGGGAAGTAGTTGGAGCCCTCCACTCATTGTTGGCAGGGAAGTAGTTGGAGCCTTCCTCATTGTGGGCAGGGAAGTAGTTGGAGCCTTCCACTCATTGTGGGCAGAGAAGAAGTTGAAGCCTTCCACTCATTGTGGGCAGGGAAGAGGTTGGAGCCTTCCACTCATTGTGGGCAGGGAAGAAGTTGAAGCCTTCTACTCATTGTTGGCAGGGAAGTAGTTGGAGCCTTCCATCATTGTGGGCAGGCAAGAAGTTAGAGCCTTCTACTCATTGTGGGCAGGGAAGTAGTTGGAGCCTTCCACTCATTGTGGGCAGGCAAGAAGTTGGAGCCTTCCACTCATTGTGGGCAGAGAAGAAGTTGGAGCCTTCCACTCATTGTGGGCAGGGAAGAAGTTGGAGCCTTCCACTTATTGTGGGTAGGGAAGAAGTTGGAGCCTTCCACTCATTGTGGGCAGGGAAGTAGTTGGAGCCCTCCACTCATTGTGGGCAGGGAAGTAGTTGGAGCCTTCCACTCATTGTGGGCAGGGAAGAAGTTGGACCTGAGACCAAGTTCTCTGCAGAAATGGTCATCTCACTTGCTCAGCATGCATTTGAAACTTCTATCTTTGTCACCTTTCACATGGATGTCCCCGCACCTTTCACATGGATGTCCCCACACTTTTTGTGGTATTTGTGGTAAGCATGCATCAGGAGTTACTATCCTGTATGGTCATTACACTACAAGTATGGTCATTGCAAGTGGACATTTGAACCTTTAGTGTCAAGTCAGATCTTTAGGTATGGAACATCTGAACCTTTTGTGTCATCAAGTCAGATCTTTAAGTGAGGAACATCTGAACCTTTTGTGTCATCAAGTCAGATCTTTAAGTGAGGAACGTCTGAACCTTTTGTGTCATCAAGTCAGATCTTTAAGTGAGGGACATCTGAACCTTTTGTGTCATCAAGTCAGATCTTTAAGTGAAGGACATCTGAACCTTTTGTGACATCAAGTCAGATCTTTAAGTGAGGGACATCTGAACCTTTTGTGTCATCAAGTCAGATCTTTAAGTGAGGGACATGTGAACCTTTTGTGTCATCAAGTCAGATCTTTAAGTGAGGGACATCTGAACCTTTTGTGTCAAGTCAGATCTTTAAGTGAGGGACATCTGAACCTTTTGTGTCATCAAGTCAGATCTTTAAGTGACGAACGTCTGAACCTTTTGTGTCATCAAGTCAGATCTTTAAGTGAGGAACATCTGAACCTTTTGTGTCATCAAGTCAGATCTTTAAGTGAGGGACATGTGAACCTTTTGTGTCATCAAGTCAGATCTTTAAGTGAGGGACATCTGAACCTTTTGTGTCAAGTCAGATCTTTAAGTGAGGGACATCTGAACCTTTTGTGTCAAGTCAGATCTTTAAGTGAGGGACATCTGAACCTTTTGTGTCAAGTCAGATCTTTAAGTGAGGGACGTCTGAACCTTTTGTGTCAGATCTTTAAGTGAGACGTCTGAACCTTTTTTGTCAAGTCAGATCTTTGAGGACGTCTGAACCTTTTGTGTCAAGTCAGATCTTTAAGTGAGGGAACGTCTGAACCTTTTTTGTGTCAAGTCAGATCTTTAAGTGAGGGACGTCTGAACCTTTTGTGTCAAGTCAGATCTTTAAGTGAGGGACATCTGAACCTTTTGTGTCAAGTCAGATCTTTAAGTGAGGGACATCTGAACCTTTTGTGTCAAGTCAGATCTTTAAGTGAGGGACATCTGAACCTTTTGTGTCAAGTCAGATCTTTAAGTGAGGGATATCTGTGTGTCAAGTCAGATCTTTAAGTGAGGGACATCTGAACCTTTTGCTATATACAGTACTACATTTTAGTAATTTGGTCAATGTAATAGGACTTTCAGATGACAGATCTTTGAGTCTGAGTTTGTCATTTAGTAGGGTACTTGGACAGTGGAGTTCTCATGTTCCAGATAAATGTTCCATGCATGTTATCACCCATGCAATGAGGTGGGCTGATGAGTCTTTGAGGATTTCTAGACATTTCATCTGTAAAAACCCCTGTAGGAACCACTGTAGGAATCCCTGTAGGAACCCCTGTAGGAATCCCTGTAGGAACCACTGTAGGAAATGCTGTAGGAACCACTGTGGGAACCACCAACTCTCAAGATCCCCTGCTATCTTATGTGGGTGGTGTCATAGGGATCTGATGTGGGTGGTGTCATAGGGATCTGATGTGGGTGGGTGACAGATGCTGATGATCCTTCACATAGACCGGACCTTCTCATGTTTTCTTGCATGTTCTAATTGTACTTGACATTGCCTAACAGGGATGCCAAGGCAGCTGTCGTCAATGGTGGTGAACTCCGAGACATGACTCTGGACCAGATTGATGAGATCTTGATCAACCACACAGAGATTGTGTTTGCTCGTACTTCCCCCCAGCAAAAACTGATCATCGTGGAAGGCTGTCAGCGACAGGGTCAGATTGTTGCCGTCACGGGTGATGGTGTCAATGATTCTCCCGCTCTCAAGAAAGCTGATATTGGTGAGTGGACTTGAAGTGAACCGCGGGCAAGTGATCGAAACAAATATGGACAGTACACCTCAAAACTCAATGAAACCTTAGTTTGTTGATATGAATAGCTTTTTAATTTTATTTGTATTACTTTTATAAGTTCAACCTTAAAAGCCGCACCCAACCAGTTAGGTTAAAGCTGCAACCAACCAGTTAGAGTAAAGCCGCAGCCAACCAGTTAGAGTAAAGCCGCAGCCAACCAGTTAGAGTAAAGCCGCACCCAACCAGTTAGAGTAAAGCCGCAACCAAACAGAGCAAAGCCACAACCAAACAGAGTAAAGCCACACACAACCAGTTAGAGTAAAGCCGCACACAACCAGTTAGAGTAAAGCTGCACACAACCAGTTAGAGTAAAGCCGCAGCCAACCAGTTAGAGTAAAGCTGCACACGACCAGTTAGAGTAAAGCTGCACACGACCAGTTAGAGTAAAGCTGCACACAACCAGTTAGAGTAAAGCCGCACACAACCAGTTAGAGTAAAGCCGCACACAACCAGTTAGAGTAAAGCCGCACACAACCAGTTAGAGTAAAGCCGCACACAACCAGTTAGAGTACTGCAAGCTTGTTGCATGTGACCAGAGGTATTTTTGCTCCTGAATCACACATGCATGTCAGTAAAAACAACTCAAGCAGAAATATTTGAACAAGGAATGAACATGAGATTTTATCAAACTAATATTTATTTATGTTTAGTCTCTCCCTGTCGGCTATATGGTATAAACTACCACATTCCATATGTATGTTTAGTCTCTCCAAGTCGGCTATATGGTATAAACTACCACATTCCATATGTATGTTTAGTCTCTTCAAGTCGGCTATATGGTATAAATTACCACATTCCATATGTATGTTTAGTCTCTCCCCGTCGGCTATATGGTATAAATTACCACATTCCATATGTATGTTTAGTCTCTTCAAGTCGGCTATATGGTATAAACTACCACATTCCATATGTATGTTTAGTCTCTCCAAGTCGGCTATATGGTATAAACTACCACATTCCATATGTATGTTTAGTCTCTCCAAGTCGGCTATATGGTATAAACTACCACATTCCATATGTATGTTTAGTCTCTCCAAGTCGGCTATATGGTATAAACTACCACATTCCATTTGTATGTTTAGTCTCTTCAAGTCGGCTATATGGTATAAACTACCACATTCCATATATATGTTTAGTCTCTCCAAGTCGGCTATATGGTATAAACTACCACATTCCATATATATGTTTAGTCTCTTCAAGTCGGCCATATGGTATAAACTACCACATTCCATATATATGTTTAGTCTCTCCAAGTCGGCTATATGGTATAAACTACCACATTCCATATATATGTTTAGTCTCTCCCCGTCGGCTATATGGTATAAACTACCACATTCCATATATATGTTTAGTCTCTTCAAGTCGGCTATATGGTATAAACTACCACATTCCATATGTATGTTTAGTCTCTTCAAGTCGGCTATATGGTATAAATTACCACATTCCATATATATGTTTAGTCTCTCCAAGTCGGCTATATGGTATAAACTACCACATTCCATATATATGTTTAGTCTCTCCCCGTCGGCTATATGGTATAAACTACCACATTCCATATATATGTTTAGTCTCTTCAAGTCGGCTATATGGTATAAACTACCACATTCCATATGTATGTTTAGTCTCTTCAAGTCGGCTATATGGTATAAATTACCACATTCCATATGTATGTTTGTAAATATCCCATGTCTGGGTGTGGATGTGTATAATTTATGTGTAAACTGTCTGCGACCAGGTGTGGCTCAAAAATAATTTATATGTAAACTTTCTGTGAGCAAGTGTGGTGGTGTATAATTTATGTGTAAACTTTCTGTGAGCAGGTGTGGTGGTGTATAATTTATATGTAAACTTTCTGTGAGCAGGTGTGGTGGTGTATAATTTATATGTAAACTTTCTGTGTGCAGGTGTGGCTAGTGAATAATATATATGTAAACTTTTTGTGACCAGGTGTGGTGGTGTATAATTTATATGTAAACTTTCTGTGTGCAGGTGTGGCTAATGAATAATTTATATGTACACTTTCTGTGACTAGGTGTGGCTAATGAATAATTTATATGTAAACTTTCTGTGACCAGGTGTGGTGGTGTATAATTTATATGTAAACTTTCTGTGACCAGGTGTGGCTAGTGAATAATTTATGTGTAAACTTTCTGTGACCAGGTGTGGCTAGTGAATAATTTATATGTAAACTTTTTGTGACCAGGTGTGGTGGTGTATAATTTATATGTAAACTTTTTGTGACCAGGTGTGGCTAATGAATAATTTATATGTAAACTTTCTGTGACCAGGTGTGGCTAATGAATAATTTATATGTAAACTTTCTGTGACTAGGTGTGGCTAATGAATAATCTATGTGTAAACTTTCTGTGACCAGGTGTGGCTATGGGTATTGCTGGCAGTGACGTCAGTAAACAGGCCGCTGACATGATCTTGCTGGATGACAACTTTGCATCAATTGTGACAGGTGTTGAGGAGGGACGTTTGATTTTTGACAACTTGAAGAAATCGATTGCCTACACCTTGACATCGAAGATCCCAGAAGTATCACCATTCTTGCTTTTCATCACTGCCAACATCCCCCTGGCACTGGGCACCATCACCATCTTGTGTATCGACCTGGGCACCGACATGATCCCAGCCATATCTATGGCCTACGAGAAGGCGGAGCAGGATATCATGAAGAGAGCACCCAGAAATCCAGAAACTGATAAATTAGTTAATGCAAGGTTCGACTTTACGCTTTTTACTTCCTTCACAATTGTCACTCCATTGACAACTTTGATTTGGCTCACCACTGAGGTGTTATCTGATTTTGATTCTGTTTGGTATGACATCCCAAAAAGTACCTCAGTTTTGTAGCCAGTCACTGGAGAAACCTTTAAACTGTGCTTGCTGTCTGTAAGAACTAGTTTGACAATGCTGTCTACAAGAGCGAGTTTGACAGCACTGTCTACAAGTGCTAGTTTGACAGCACTGTCTACAAGTGCTAGTTTGACAATGCTGTCTACAAGTGCTAGTTTGACAGTGCTGTCTACAAGTGCTAGTTTGACAATGCTGTCTACCAGCACTAGTTTGACAATGCAGTCTACAAGTGCTAGTTTGACAGCGCTGTCTACAAGTGCTAGTTTGACAGTGCTGACTACAAGTGCTAGTTTGACAATGCTGTCTACAAGTGCTAGTTTGACAGTGCTGTCTACAAGTGCTAGTTTGACAATGCTGTCTACAAGTGCTAGTTTGACAGTGCTGACTACAAGTGCTAGTTTGACAATGCTGACTACAAGTGCTAGTTTGACAATGCGGTCTACAAGTGCTAGTTTGACAATGCTGTCTACAAGCGCTAGTTTGACAGCACTGTCTACAAGTGCTAGTTTGACAATGCTGTCTACAAGTGCTAGTTTGACAGTGCTGACTACAAGTGCTAGTTTGACAATGCTGACTACAAGTGCTAGTTTGACAATGCTGACTACAAGTGCTATTTTGACAATGCTGTCAAGTGCTAGTTTGATAGCCCTGTTAAGTGCTAGTTTGACAGCCCTGTTAAGTGCTAGTTTGACAGCGCTGTCTCCAAGCGCTAGTTTGACAATGCTGTCTACAAGTGCTAGTTTGACAGTGCTGACTACAAGTGCTAATTTGACAATGCTGACTACAAGTGCTAGTTTGACAATGCTGTCAAGTGCTAGTTTGACAGCCCTGTTAAGTGCTAGTTTGACAGCCCTGTTAAGTGCTAGTTTGACAGCGCTGTCTCCAAGCGCTAGTTTGACAATGCTGTCTACTAGTGCTAGTTTGACAGCGCTGTCTCCAAGTGCTAGTTTGACAGCGCTGTCTCCAAGTGCTAGTTTGACAGCGCTGTCTCCAAGTGCTAGTTTGACAGTGCTGTCTCCAAGTGCTAGTTTGACAATGCTGTCTCCAAGTGCTAGTTTGACAGCGCTGTCTCCAAGTGCTAGTTTGACAGCCCTGTCAAGTGCTAGTTTGACAATGCTGTCTACAAGTGCTAGTTTGACAATGCTGTCTACAAGTGCTAGTTTGACAATGCTGTCGACAAGTGCTAGTTTGACAATGCTGTCTACAAGTGCTAGTTTGACAATGCTGTCTACAAGTGCTAGTTTGACAATGCTGTCTACAAGGGCTAGTTTGACAATACTGTCTGCAAGTGCTAGTTTGACAGCGCTGTCTAGTGCTAGTTTGACAATGCTGTCTACAAGTGCTAGTTTGACAATGCGGTCTATAAGGGCTAGTTTGACAATGCGGTCTACAAGGGCTAGTTTGACAATGCTGTCTACAAGTGCTAGTTTGACAATGCTGTCTGCAAGTGCTAGTTTGACAGCACTGTCTGCAAGTGCTAGTTTGACAGCGCTGACTACAAGTGCTAGTTTGACAGTGCTGACTACAAGTGCTAGTTTGACAGCGCTGTCTACAAGCGCTAGTTTGACAGCACTGTCTACAAGCGCTAGTTTGACAATGCTGGTTAGTTATTAGTCTGTGTGGTCAATACATTACTGTGTGTGTATCTGTGGTCAGTGCATTACTGTGTGTGTGTCTGTGGTCAGTGCATTACTGTGTGTGTGTCTGTGACCAGTACAATACTGCTGGTACTCATCATAAAGTGTCTATTACAGTAGTGCTGGAAGAAAGGTGTTGGTACTGCGTACCGCTAGATAAAGAAATGGTTTATTACTGTATGTTCATGTATTTTCATGTATGTTCATGCATGTTCATATTAATAGACTCCCCTCGGAATGCTACAACTGTGATATAAAGACCAAAAGCGATGACTTTCTCCAGGAAAGGAAGAAAAGCCAATATTAAAATTGATTAACACCAGCTTAAACAGGCGAAGGATTTTACGTACTGGGGAGCATTTTTTCAGAAGACGAAAGAATTAGTACAGAATTTCAGCAAAGATGTAATAAAGCCAGTCAAGTTTTAGTCCAAATGGCACCAATTTTGAAATGCAAGTATGTGATTATGAAGTACTAAAAGAACACCTGTTCAGCACAATATTCTTACCATTGCTGTGCTATTACTGTCTAACATGGACACTGTCTTCAGAAGATAGAAGGAAAATAGTCGCGACAAAATGAAATGTTTATGTACTGTGCTAGTTGTTATGAGGAAAGATCAACTTAGGATCGTTGATATCAGGAGGAGAGTCAACACAGAACCAATACTGCACTTTATAGATAGACAACAAATAAAACGGTCATGTAAAATTATTGGCAACAGACAGGGCACCAAAAAGAGCAAAGTTATACAGAAACAGCAGCAACAGAGCTAGAGGTTGGTCACGCAGAAGATGGACCACAGAAATATCAGAAACAATGAAAAGTGTTTTATACAAAGCGAATAAAAGAGCCTGTTCCAGAGACATCCTCTTGACCTGATGCCACGAGGCATTCCATGAGTTGAGAAAAGTAGTTCATATCTCAGATTAATTAGTATTGTCTCAGATTAATTAGTATTGTCCCAGGTTAATTAGTATTGTCCCAGGTTAATTAGTATTGTCCCAGGTTAATCAGTATTGTCTATGTCACAGGTTAATTAGTATTGTCTATGTCCCAGGTTAATTAGTATTGTCTATGTCCCAGGTTAATCAGTATTGTCTATGTCACAGGTTAATTAGTATTGTCTATGTCACATTTTAATTAGTATTGTCTATGTCCCTGGTTAATCAGTATTGTCTATGTCCCAGGTTAATCAGTATTGTCTATGTCCCAGGTTAATCAGTATTGTCTGTCCCAGGTTAATCAGTATTGTCTATGTCTAAGGTTAATCAGTATTGTCTATGTCCCAGGTTAATCAGTATTGTCTATGTCCCAGGTTAATCAGTATTGTCTATGTCCCAGGTTAATCAGTATTGTCTATGTCCCAGGTTAATCAGTATTGTCTGTCCCAGGTTAATCAGTATTGTCTATGTCCCAGGTTAATTAGTATTGTCTATGTCCCAGGTTAATTAGTATTGTCTATGTCCCAGGTTAATCAGTATTGTCTATGTCCCAGGTTAATCAGTATTGTCTATGTCACATTTTAATTAGTATTGTCTATGTCCCAGGTTAATCAGTATTGTCTATGTCCCAGGTTAATCAGTATTGTCTGTCACAGGTTAATCAGTATTGTCTATGTCCCAGGTTAATCAGTATTGTCTATGTCCCAGGTTAATCAGTATTGTCTATGTTCCAGGATAATCAGTATTGTCTATGTTCCAGGATAATCAGTATTGTCTATGTCCCAGGTTAATTAGTATTGTCTATGTCCCAGGTTAATCAGTATTGTCTATGTCCCAGGTTAATCAGTATTGTCTATGTCCCAGGTTAATTAGTATTGTCTATGTCACAGGTTAATCAGTATTGTCTATGTCACAGGTTAATCAGTATTGTCTATGTCACAGGTTAATTAGTATTGTCTATGTCACAGGTTAATCAGTATTGTCTATGTCACAGGTTAATTAGTATTGTCTATGTCACAGGTTAATCAGTATGACATATGGACAGATTGGAATGATTCAAGCACTGGCTGGATTCTTCACATACATTGTTGTCATGGGAGAGAATGGCTTCTGGATGTCTAGACTAATCGGCATACGTGAGGAATGGGACTCTGTTGGCATCAATAACTTGGAAGATTCATACGGCCAGGAATGGGTAAGAAATAAGTTATGTTACAGACTGCTTCTGTCACACCCAACAGGACAGTCATGGCATCTGCATGGCATATTGTTTCAACTGTTTATCTACACCCAGTCTAACAATCTGTTTGTATTTCCTCAGACCTACACCCAGTCTAACAATCTGCTTGTATTTCCTCAGACCCACACCCAGTCTAACAATCTGCTTGTATTTCCTCAGACCTACACCCAGTCTAACAATCTGAATTTCCTCAGACCTACACCCAGTCTAACAATCTGCTTGTATTTCCTCAGACCTACACACAGTCTAACGATCTGCTTGTATTTCCTCAGACCTACACCCAGTCTAACAATATGCTTGTATTTCCTCAGACCCACACACAGTCTAACGATCTGCTTGTATTTCCTCAGATCTACACACAGTCTAACAATCTGTTTGTATTTCCTCAGACCTACACCCAGTCTAATAATCTATTTGTATTTCCTCAGACCTACAGTCTAACAATCTGCTTGTATTTCCTCAGACCTACACAGTCTAACAATCTGCTTGTATTTCCTCAGACACTACACACATTCTAACAATCTGCTTGTATTTCCTCAGACCTACACCCAGTCTAATAATCTATTTGTATTTCCTCAGACCTACACAGTCTAACAATCTGCTTGTATTTCCTCAGACCTACACAGTCTAACAATCTGCTTGTATTTCCTCAGACACTACACACAGTCTAACAATCTGCTTGTATTTCCTCAGATCTACACACAGTCTAACAATCTGCTTGTATTTCCTCAGACCTACACACAGAGAAAGAAGCTGGAACAGACCTGTCACACAGCCTTTTTTGTCTCCATTGTCATTGTCCAGTGGGCTGACCTCATCATCTGCAAGACCAGGCGCCTGTCACTGTTCAAACAAGGAATGTTGTAAGTCTGTTTTCTGTCTGTCACTCTGTTCAAACAAGGAATGTTGTAAGTCTGTTGTCTGTCTGTCACTCTGTACATCAAGGAATGTTGTAAGTTTGTTGTCTGTCTGTCACTCTGTACATCAAGGAATGTTTTAAGTCTGTTGTCTGTCTGTCTCTATTCAAACAAGGAATGTTGTAAGTCTGTTGTCTCTCTATCACTCTGTAAATCAAGGAATGTTGTAAGCCTGTTGTCTCTCTTCCATCAAGGAATGATGTGAGTCTTGCCTGTCTGTCACTTTTCCATCAAGGATAAGTCTGTTGTCTGTCTGTTACTCTGTACATCAAGGAATGAAGTTAAGTCTGTTGTCTGACTGTCACTCTTCCATCAAGGAATAAAGTTAGGTCTGTTGTCTGACTGTGCTTCCATCAAGGAATGAAGTTAAGTCTGTTGTCTGACTGTCAGTCTTCCATCAAGGAATGAAGTTAAGTCTGTTGTCTGACTGTCACTCTTCCATCAAGGAATGAAGTTAAGTCTGTTGTCTGACTGTCAGTCTTCCATCAAGGAATGAAGTTAAGTCTGTTGTCTGACTGTCAGTCTTCCATCAAGGAATGAAGTTAAGTCTGTTGTCTGACTGTCAGTCTTCCATCAAGGAATGAAGTTAAGTCTGTTGTCTGACTGTCACTCTTCCATCAAGGAATGAAGTTAAGTCTGTTGTCTGACTGTCAGTCTTCCATCAAGGAAAGAAGTTAAGTCTGTTGTCTGACTGTCAGTCTTCCATCAAGGAATGAAGTTAAGTCTGTTGTCTGACTGTCACTCTTCCATCAAGGAATGAAGTTAAGTCTGTTGTCTGACTGTCAGTCTTCCATCAAGGAATGAAGTTAAGTCTGTTGTCTGACTGTCACTCTTCCATCAAGGAATGAAGTTAAGTCTGTTGTCTGACTGTCAGTCTTCCATCAAGGAATGAAGTTAAGTCTGTTGTCTGACTGTCACTCTTCCATCAAGGAATGAAGTTAAGTCTGTTGTCTGACTGTCAGTCTTCCATCAAGGAATGAAGTTAAGTCTGTTGTCTGACTGTCACTCTTCCATCAAGGAATGAAGTTAAGTCTGTTGTCTGACTGTCAGTCTTCCATCAAGGAATGAAGTTAAGTCTGTTGTCTGACTGTCACTCTTCCATCAAGGAATGAAGTTAAGTCTGTTGTCTGACTGTCAGTCTTCCATCAAGGAATGAAGTTAAGTCTGTTGTCTGACTGTCAGTCTTCCATCAAGGAATGAAGTTAAGTCTGTTGTCTGACTGTCAGTCTTCCATCAAGGAATGAAGTTAAGTCTGTTGTCTGACTGTCACTCTTCCATCAAGGAATGAAGTTAAGTCTGTTGTCTGTCTGTCACTCTTCCATCAAGGAATGAAGTCAGACTTTGATAACCTCCAACAACGAGTGATTGGATTCCTCAGCTGGTCAGTGTTCTATTAGTGGACTTGCATGTCCAGTCACAGTCCACCTTGTGACCCCTAGGTCCCTGTTGACTTTAAAGAAGTGACATTTAATGGGACAAATTATGTACAGATAAAATATTTGTTTTGGGAAAAAAAATTATTGATGGGACAAGGAGGACTTTGCGATTCTGATACTCTCTAGTGAAAGACGAGGGGAGGTGATTCCCATGTGTCGTTGAGCAGGCTTCCTGTGGAACAGATATTTACAGTTAAATTCAGTGGACTTAGATGCCCAAGTTAGGAAATCTGTTTCTTTGAATGCTATTTACCCATCATTAGGTGGTTGACTGAGAGACAGAGGTATTTCTGCACAAACTCCCATTAACCTCACAGCTGTACAAAAACTCCCATTAACAACTATCTGTACACAAACTCCCATTAACATCTATCTGTACACAAACTTTCATTAACCTCACAGTTGTATACAAACTCCCATTAACCTCACAGCTGTATACAAACTTCCATTAACCTCACAGCTGTACACAAACTTCCATTAACCTCACAACTGTATACAAACTCCCATTAACCTCACAACTGTATGCAAACTTCCATTAACCTCACAGCTGTACACAAACTCCCATTAACCTCACAGCTGTACACAAACTTCCATTAACCTCACAGCTGTACACAAACTTCCATTAACCTCACAGCTGTACACAAACTTCCATTAACCTCACAGCTGTATACAAACTTCCATTAACCTCACAGCTGTATACACACTCCCATTAACCTCACAGCTGTATACAAACTTCCATTAACCTCACAACTGTACACAAACTCCCATTAACCTCACAGCTGTACACAAACTCCCAATAACCTCACAGCTGTACACAAACTTCCATTAACCTCACAACTGTACACAAACTTCCATTAACCTCCACAGCTGTACACAAACTTCCATTAACCTCACAGCTGTATACAAACTTCCATTAACCTCACAACTGTATACAAACTTCCATTAACCTCACAACTGTACACAAACTTCCATTAACCTCACAACTGTACACAAACTCCCAATAACCTCACAGCTGTATACAAACTTCCATTAACCTCACAACTGTACACAAACTCCCAATAACCTCACAGCTGTATACAAACTTCCATTAACCTCACAGCTGTATACAAACTTCCATTAACCTCACAGCTGTACACAAACTTCCATTAACCTCACAGCTGTACACAAACTTCCATTAACCTCACAGCTGTACACAAACTTCCATTAACCTCACAGCTGTACACAAACTCCCAATAACCTCACAGCTGTACACAAACTCCCAATAACCTCACAGCTGTACACAAACTCCCAATAACCTCACAGCTGTACACAAACTTCCATTAACCTCACAGCTGTATACAAACTTCCATTAACCTCACAGCTGTATACAAACTTCCATTAACCTCACAGCTGTATACAAACTTCCATTAACCTCACAGCTGTACACAAACTCCCAATAACCTCACAGCTGTACACAAACTTCCATTAACCTCACAGCTGTACACAAACTTCCATTAACCTCACAGCTGTACACAAACTTCCATTAACCTCACAGCTGTACACAAACTTCCATTAACCTCACAGCTGTACACAAACTTCCATTAACCTCACAGCTGTATACAAACTTCCATTAACCTCACAGCTGTATACAAACTTCCATTAACCTCACAGCTGTATACAAACTTCCATTAACCTCACAGCTGTACACAAACTTCCATTAACCTCACAGCTGTACACAAACTTCCATTAACCTCACAGCTGTACACAAACTTCCATTAACCTCACAGCTGTACACAAACTTCCATTAACCTCACAGCTGTACACAAACTTCCATTAACCTCACAGCTGTACACAAACTTCCATTAACCTCACAGCTGTACACAAACTTCCATTAACCTCACAGCTGTATACAAACTTCCATTAACCTCACAGCTGTATACAAACTTCCATTAACCTCACAGCTGTATACAAACTTCCATTAACCTCACAACTGTACACAAACTTCCATTAACCTCACAACTGTACACAAACTCCCAATAACCTCACAACTGTACACAAACTCCCAATAACCTCACAGCTGTATACAAACTTCCATTAACCTCACAGCTGTACACAAACTCCCAATAACCTCACAGCTGTACACAAACTTCCATTAACCTCACAGCTGCACACAAACTTCCATTAACCTCACAACTGTACACAAACTCCCATTAACCTCACAGCTGTACACAAACTCCCATTAACCTCACAGCTGTATACAAACTTCCATTAACCTCACAGCTGTACACAAACTTCCATTAACCTCACAGCTGTATACAAACTTCCATTAACCTCACAGCTGTACACAAACTTCCATTAACCTCACAGCTGTACACAAACTTCCATTAACCTCACAGCTGTACACAAACTTCCATTAACCTCACAGCTGTATAAAAACTTCCATTAACCTCACAGCTGTACACAAACTTCCATTAACCTCACAGCTATACACAAACTTCCATTACCTCACAGCTATACACTAACCTCACAGCTGTACCTCACAAACACAAAACTCCCAATAACCTCACAGCTGTACACAAACTTCCATTAACCTCACAGCTATACACAAACTTCCATTAACCTCACAGCTGTATACAAACTTCCATTAACCTCACAACTGTACACAAACTCCCATTAACCATCCAGCTATACACAAACCTCCATTAACCATTTAGATACACTCAAAATCACATTAACCATTCATTTTTTTTTAAAAATTCACATCAATCATCCAGCTATACACAAACTCCCAATAAAAGTTATGAGTTGGATTAGCTTTACAGCACTCCCGACACATCCATAGTGATCAGATTCCCCTCTCAACATATTCATCAGCGTTGCACGTTTAATAGTGCCAGTCCTATGCTGGTTGACAAGACTTTTTGTGCATCCGGTGTGCTTCTCATGCTTGGCTGTGCTGATCTTTACTCCCAGTTCTGGTATTCTTATCAGTGATGTGGACACGTTGCTTCCAAACTCCTTGGAACGTCCTATCTCTCTAAGGGCATTGACAATGTCTGCGTGATCCATGGGCTGGCCATTTTCAATTAATGTAACATTTACCAGTCTATCAGTTCTTTCAGTAACAACGCCTGCATGCCCTAGGACAAATATGAAGGTAACTGCACACTCTGGAGAGTTTTGCAATGACTCAAACCACTGTCTGTGTAACTGACGGAGTTTAGATAGGACTGCCCCCTTAACTATTCAACTATTAACTGGTGCATGCATGTGCACACACACACAGGTAGACAAGAAAATGCATCTGAAGAGCAATTAGAGTAATACTAAAATCATCTGAAAAGCAAACAGCTGAGAGAATAATGACATGTGTTCAAGGACAACTTAGATTTGCTTATAATGCATTTAGGGTAGCAGCTGGAGCTAACTGCATGGCTTGTGTACATTCTGGGTGGCTTGTGGCTTGTGTATATTCTGGGTGGCTTGTGTACATTCTGGGTGGCTTGTGTACATTCTGGGTGGCTTGTGTACATTCTGGGTGGCTTGTGTACATTCTGGGTGGCTTGCACATCTGGTCACCTTTGAGATTTTGTATATAAAGTAGTGATCTAATTTCTTTTGCCTGGTTGAAATTTTAGAAATCATCACCTCAACTTTGCACTGCTTTTTGAGACATGTCTGGCCATATTTCTCTGTTACTGTCCCGGACTGGACACAGCTCTGCGACTGCAGCCTCTCAGGTTAGATTCACGTTGTTATCATTTATAGTTTCATAACTTGATAGTTTAAAATTTTATCATTTGGTTTTAAAAACATTATTTATTTATTTATTGTTTAAAAGATAAGCTCAGTTACTACTTCAGACATTCAGGAGCTCAGTTACAACTACTTCAGACATTCAGGAGCTCAGTTACAACTACTTCAGACATTCAGGAGCTCAGTTACAACTACTTCAGACATTCAGGAGCTCAGTTACAACTACTTCAGACATTCAGGAGCTCAGTTACTACTTCACACATTCAGGATCTCAGTTACAACTACTTCAGACATTCAGGATCTCAGTTACAACTACTTCAGACATTTGGGAGCTCAGTTACAACTACTTCAGACATTAGGGAGCTCAGTTACAACTACTTCAGACATTCAGGAGCTCAGTTACAACTACTTCAGACATTCAGGAGCTCAGTTACAACTACTTCAGACATTCAGGAGCTCAGGTACAACTACTTCAGACATTCAGGAGCTCAGTTACAACTACTTCAGACATTCAGGAGCTCAGTTACAACTACTTCAGACATTCAGGAGCTCAGTTACAACTACTTCAGACATTCAGGAGCTCAGTTACAACTACTTCAGATATTCAGGAGCTCAGTTACAACTACTTCAGACATTCAGGAGCTCAGTTACATCTGCTTCAGACATTCAGGAGCTCAGTTACATCTGCTTCAGACATTCGGGAGCTCAGTTACATCTGCTTCAGACATTCGGGAGCTCAGTTACATCTGCTTCAGACATTTGGGAGCTCAGTTACAACTACTTCAGACATTCGGGAGCTCAGTTACATCTGCTTCAGACATTTGGGAGCTCAGTTACAACTACTTCAGACATTCAGGAGCTCAGTTACAACTGCTTCAGACATTCAGGAGCTCAGTTACAACTACTTCAGACATTCAGGAGCTCAGTTACATCTACTTCAGACATTCAGGAGCTTAGTTACATCTACTTCAGACATTCAGGAGCTCAGTTACAACTACTTCAGACATTCAGGAGCTCAGTTACAACTACTTCAGACATTCAGGACTTAACTGTTTAGGAAAGGCACTATGCTTATTTAAGAACTACATGTCATGGTTGGATATTTATTCTAGAAATTCCTGACTGGAGATATCTACTTCAGCAATACAAGTTCTGGTAATGGCTATTTCAAAAATGCAAACTATAATACAAATTGGAGCTTATATCTATTTTAGAAACACAAGTGGGTGGTTATCTACTTTGTGGATATCTCATCTTTAATAGCTGTTCATGGCTTGATATACAGATGACTATCAGACACAGCATCAGAGAAACAGCAGATAACAAATAAAGCTCAGAAAACACAGACACATTCTCAGAGGGACAATAGATAACAAATATAGTTATGCAAATACAGACACATTCTCAGAGGGACAATAGATAACAAATAGATAACAGAAAATAGACACATTCTCAGAGGGACAATAGATAACAAATAGATAACAGAAAATAGACACATTCTCAGAGGGACAATAGATAACAAATAGATAACAGAAAATAGACACATTCTCAGAGGGACAATAGATAACAATTATAGCTTATAAAATAGACACACTCCTACATAAATGTGTATCACCCACTCCTACGTTCATGTGTACCAGCCACTCATATGTACATGTGTACCAACTACTCATATATACATACATGTGTACCAACCATGCATGTGTACATTCATGTGTACCAACCACGCATGTGTACCAACCACTCATACATAGAGTAAAGGACTCTTTATGCAACACTAGCACAGACTTAGTGTTTGTATCAACTAGCCAGCACTCATCAGGTGTTGTGCACATCATGCTGGCTGCCTTTATTTCCTAGACATTTTCAGGTACAATTTTTAAGGCTGGCTGAATCTTGAGAGCCAAGATTTCTGTGTCCAAATCTACCTGTTGTTACTTTCAGACCAGCCAGTGAACATGTGACCTCTACATGTGACCTCTACATGTGACCTCTACATGTCACCTTCTAGAATCTTCAACTATTGCTTTGTCTTTACACGATCATTTTGTTTAGGATGGTTGTCTTCATGTGGGTGCTAGGGCCCATTTGGGTTGGGGGAGTTGAGAATAAACTGACATCCCTTCCCCCTCCCTCCCCCGGCCCACAAGCATATCATGAAAGTTGACTAACTAAAGATGTTTTCTTCAAAGCTGGTGAATTTGCCTGTGAGGTGAGGAAGCAATCAATCTGCATCTAAAAATAAACCAAATCAGCAACTAGATTAAACTCTACATATGGATGAACAACTCCCAGAGTTTACTGCCGGTGGATGCTAAGAAGGGAGAATTAGTGTTCATGATTGGTGTGCTCAGGCTAATTTTGTTATTTTTGTCTGAAAGAGAACATGTAACAGAGTAGTCTGTTTAAATCACTGTAATAAATGAACTCATTACCACCTGTTGCGTCTTACCTGACGGATCATTGTGAAAAGCTATGGAGCTATTACCATTGTATGTCTCTTCTAACAGGTTCACCTGGTGGCTGGTTCCTCTTCCTTACAGTCTGCTCATTGTCGTCTATGACGAGCTGCGCAAGCTGATACTGCGAAGAAGTCCAGGAGGCTTTGTCGAGAGAGAGACATATTACTAGCTGGCATAGTTTTGTCAGCTGAGACTACAAGTTCCTGTAAATACTGAATGTAGGTCAATTGTAGAAAATAAGTGAACTAAAGATGGCGGCAGTTTTGTAAATGTTCCTATTTTGTCAGTGTAGCTACCTCCACACCCACACACACACCCACCCACACCTACACACACCCACACCTACACACACCCACACACACAGAAATAAGTTTGGAATCAGTTTTGTGGAACTTCCTCACCACATACAGACCTACTGGTTCCTTACATTTTGCAGGCACTTTTTTTTCCAGAGAGTTTTGCAGGCAGGCTATTTCCTATTTGTTTGTTTTTTATGTCAATGTCTTCCATCTTGTGTTGTCACTGCCATTAACCATCCCGCCATATTACATTGTAGAATCTGTCAATGTGTCGACCATCTTGTATTGTGTGTGCAGCTTAGACATTCAGTGCAGACGTAGTATAGCCATTGGAGACTTTCTACAATATGTGCAAGACCGTTGTGTCAGGGTGTGAAAGAACATAGTATGTGAGAGAACAAGGACAGTTTCAGGGTGATAGAGAATATGGACAACAGTGGGAGAACATACAGTGTCTGGGTGGGAGAGAAGGTGGAGGGCAGTGTCCGGGTGGGAGAGAAGGTGGAGGACAGTGTCCGGGTGGGAGAGAAGGTGGAGGACAGTGTCCGGGTGGGAGAGAAGGTGGAGGACAGTGTCCGGGTGGGAGAGAAGGTGGAGAGCAGTGTCCGGGTGGGAGAGAAGGTGGAGAGCAGTGTCTGGGTGGGAGAAAAGGTGGAGGACAGTGTCTGGGTGGGAGAGAAGGAGGAGGACAGTGTCTGGGTGGGAGAGAACGTGAAGGGCAGTGTCTGGGTGGGAGAGAACGTGAAGGGCAGTGTCTGGGTGGGAGAGAACGTGAAGGGCAGTGTCTGGGTGGGAGAGAACGTGGAGGACAGTGTCTGGGTGGGAGAGAAGGTGGAGGACAGTGTCTGGGTGAGAGAGAACGTGGAGGACAGTGTCTGGGTGAGAGAGAACGTGGAGGACAGTGTCTGGGTGAGAGAGAACGTGGAGGACAGTGTCTGGGTGGGAGAGAACGTGGAGGACAGTGTCTGGGTGGGAGAGAAGGTGGAGGACAGTGTCTGGGTGGGAGAGAGAAGGTGGAGGACAGTGTCTGGGTGGGAGAGAAGGTGGAGGACAGTGTCTGGGTGGGAGAGAAGGTGGAGGACAGTGTCTGGGTGGGAGAGAAGGTGGAGGACAGTGTCTGGGTGGGAGAGAAGGTGGAGGACAGTGTCTGGGTGGGAGAGAAGGTGGAGGACAGTGTCTGGGTGGGAGAGAAGGTGGAGGACAGTGTCTGGGTGGGAGAGAAGGTGGAGGACAGTGTCTGGGTGGGAGAGAAGGTGGTGGACAGTGTCTGGGTGGGAGAGAAGGTGGAGGACAGTGTCTGGGTGGGAGAGAAGGTGGAGGACAGTGTCTGGGTGAGAGAGAAGGTGGAGGACAGTGTCTGGGTGAGAGAGAAGGTGGAGGACAGTGTCTGGGTGAGAGAGAAGGTGGAGGACAGTGTCTGGGTGAGAGAGAAGGTGGAGGACAGTGTCTGGGTGAGAGAGAAGGTGGAGGACAGTGTCCGGGTGGGGGAGCATGCATGGACAGTGTCTGGGTGGGGGAGCATGCATGGACAGTGTCTGGGTGGGGGAGCATGCATGGACAGTGTCTGGGTGGGGGAGCATGCATGGACAGTGTCTGGGTGGGAGAGAAGGTGGAGGACAGTGTCTGGGTGGGAGAGAAGGTGGAGGACAGTGTCTGGGTGGGAGAGAAGGTGGAGGACAGTGTCTGGGTGGGAGAGAACATCAAAGACAGTGTCTGGGTGGGAGAGAACATCAAAGACAGTGTCTGGGTGGGAGAGAACATCAAAGACAGTGTCTGGGTGGGAGAGAACATCAAAGACAGTGTCTGGGTGGGAGAGAACATCAAAGACAGTGTCTGGGTGGGAGCATGCATGGACAGAGTCTGGGTGGGAGAGAACGTCAAAGACAGTGTCTGTGTGGGAGCCAGCATGGACAGTGGGTGCCCAAGATTGTGCACCATAACTTTCATTCCTTGAAAATGGAACATGAGCATTAAAAAAGATTTCTGTTACATTGATCATTCCAGGAAAGTTTGTGTTTTGCTATCATTGCAATTAAGTTGTCTAGAATTACTCTATTTTTATAGTAAGCATTCTAATGTGTGGTTGATTGATAAAGACTTTGGTCAAAACATTTCTCCTTAGTTTGTGTCCATTTGTTCTATTCCCTCCATTGAGTTTTATAGTCACATTTAATGTGTATTTAGTACTTCATATTTGTATAGACAAGTCGACACTTGATGGATAGAGCAGTCGCCACTTGATGGATAGAGCAGTCGCCACTTGATGGATAGAGCAGTCGCCACTTGATGGATAGAGCAGTCGCCACTTGATGGATAGAGCAGTCGCCACTTGATGGATAGAGCAGTCGCCACTTGATGGATAGAGCAGTCGCCACTTGATGGATAGAGCAGTCGCCACTTGATGGATAGAGCAGTCGCCACTTGATGGATAGAGCAGTCGCCACTTGATGGATAGAGCAGTCGCCACTTGATGGATAGAGCAGTCGCCACTTGATGGATAGAGCAGTCGCCACTTGATGGATAGAGCAGTCGCCACTTGATGGATGCTGGTCAGCATCATGCTGGTCACCTTTACTTCCCAGGAGATTACTACATACCCATTTTGGTCTAGGTTGACCTAGGAACATGGATCAATTATAAAGAATCCTTCTGGATATGGATTTGAACCCAAGACCATCTTGCTAGTAAGTGAACTGATGGTACTTGGCTCTCATATTTTCAGTCTTTCAGATTTCCTAACAGTCTTTCAGATTTCCTAACAGTCTATCAGATTTCCTAACATTGTCTCTCAGGTTATCTAGCATTGTCTCAGTTTTTCTAACATTGTTTCTTTCAGATTTTCTGACATTGTTTCTTTCAGATTTTCTGACATTGTTTCTTTCAGATTTTCTGACATTGTTTCTTTCAGATTTTCTGACATTGTTTCTTTCAGATTTTCTGACATTGTTTCTTTCAGATTTTCTGACATTGTTTCTTTCAGATTTTCTGACATTGTTTCTTTCAGATTTTCTGACATTGTTTCTTTCAGATTTTCTAACATTGTTTCTTTCAGATTTTCTAACATTGTCTCAGATCTTCTAACATTGTTTCTTTCAGATTTTCTAACATTGTCTCAGATCTTCTAACATTGTCTCAGATCTTCTAACATTGTTTCTTTCAGATTTTCTAACATTGTCTCAGATCTTCTAACATTGTTTCTTTCAGATTTTCTAACATTGTTTCTTTCAGATTTTCTAACATTGTTTCAGATTTTTCAATATTGCCTGCCAGGCTTTCTAACATTTGATCTGTTTAACTAGAAAAGGTCGGGGCTGAGTTATTTCAATATCGTGGCGACAGGCCTGTTCCCCCATTCACCTGCCCCATTCATGAAATTACACCCCCCCCCCCCCCCCCTTTTTTTTTTTACAGAGTGGTTGATCCCCCCATACACACAAACATAACAGAGACAGTGTCCCAGACACTCTTTGGGAGATACTTTGCACGGACATACATTGCACATACATTATATGGGCAGTGTCCCAGACACTCTGAGAGATACTTTGCACGCACATACATTATATGGACAGTGTCCCAGACACTCTATGAGAGATACTTTGCACGAACATACATTATATGGACAGTGGGGCAGACATTTCAGGGGCGACCTCAAAGACATGACAGGGGTGGTGCCAAAGACGTAGGAAGGACGTAATGTAACAGCAGCGTGCGGGCCTGTACTTCAGCCATTGTTGGGTGTGTGACTGCCCTGGCATGGGGCAATTATCTGCTGTCAGCCGGTTCATGTCACAGGAACAAGGGCAAGCTATTCTGTGACTAGCATTAGCTGTGCATGCACTAGCACGCGCCCCATACTCCTCAGTGTTGTATCCCTGTTTCTCTTTTTCTCTCTCTCTTTCTGACTCAGCTAAGTTCATTGTCTCCTAATTGTCTGCGTATGTGTGTGTGTCTGTTGTCTGGGGGGGGGGGGGCTGAGATCGACTGCTGGTCATCAACAAAGTTAGTCGAGAGAATTACCTTACTACGCCAGGTTTTATCCCATAGAGCTGGGTCTGCGGGCAGGGTCGCACAAAGCATGCATTAACTCTGGAGCTCAAAAGGCGATCACTGTAAACTGCATTTGTAAAAAGAAACCCCCGACCTTCAAAGCGCTAGCCCCGAACAAAAAAAGTTAAGTCCTTACAACCTGGCTGAACATGGAGGTAATCGGTAACTGGCTAGCCTCATCGCAGTATACAGTTGTACACAGTGTCACGCAACACAACTGGTTCAGCCATGGAGATTTAAAGACAACTGACTTGCCAGGTTAGTTTTTAATATTTCCTGTACTTAGCTCGCAATTCTGAAGGTGTTTCCTGTTGACGTCAACGTTTTTTTTTTTTTTTTGGGGGGGGGGGGGGGGGGAACAGACGGCCAAGGGAAAGAATAAAGAACAGGAAACGGATGAAGAAGCGTTTTGCTGTGCTGGTGTATGCACTCTCCTCCACGCTTCACTTGTTGCTATTCTCTGGCTGCCAAAACTGGGTCAGCGTTATCAGCGAGTCGCTCAACCCTATCGGGTTTATAATCTGATTAGGCAACTGTTGGGACCCATAAATTAACCGGCAGCCGCAAGTTATTTTACGTGACCAAAATACAAGCATAGTTTTCTTCTTCTGAGGTCACTAACAGATAAACCCCAGCCATATTCGCTACATGGCAATCATTCTGTGATATCTGCTAGGTTCTTCTACACGGCTCCACAAATTCTGCATGTTGACAACTTCATTCCCGGCTCCCCCCAACTCCAGCAGTGTAAGCAGATGTGAGCCTGAGATGGCTAGGGCTGGTGACTGCCGCTACATTCCAGTTTCCACCGGCTAGTCCGCTC